CATTTAGCTGCCCTGAGAACATCCCCTCCCCCAGAATTGCAGCAAAACAGGCGCCCCAGCCAGAGACCATCTCTGGCCTCTCCATCCAGAGCTCTGCCTCTGCATAGGTGCCTCTCTCCTCTCCTTGGGAGTGACCCCCTCCTCAAATTGCCTTCTTGTTGGGAAGCACCTCCTGTCCAGGTGCCGCAGTGCCCCAGGGACCCCTCTGCCCCCACCATGCAGAATGCAGAGCCTTTACAGTTGTGGCCCCCGTGGATGGGAAACTATCCCTGAGTTCCTCACAAGGCAGCCAGAAGGCTTACCAAAGGCTTCTCAAGGTCTGGTGCTCCCTGCCCTTCACTTCACTTCACTTCAATCTTGTCCCAAAGGTGCTTTTTCAAGAGGCAACTGGACTTTCTTGGTTTTTCTTGAAAGACGTTTCGCTTCTCATCCAAGAAGCTTCCTCAGCTCTGAAGAAGGTGAAGAGCTGAAGAAGCTTCTTGGATGAGAAGCAAAACATCTTCAAAGAAAAACCAGAAAGTCCAGTTGTCTTCTGAAAAAAGCACCTTTGGAACAACCATGACCTGGAGGACCGAGAGTCTCCATAGGCACTTCAATCTTACACATCATCACATGGATCATTGCCACATAATCTCTCAGGGTGTTTTGCCATCCGGCCTGCATCCATTGTTCCCAGAAGGCCCCCCCTGCCCCCTCCGGAAAGAGCTGCTATGCCAAAAGCAATTCAATAATTCAATGCTCTTCACTCTTCCGTGTGCTTCAAAGGGCCGACTCCCCAGGGGAGGCACATGGGAATACATAGGGAGGCTCCTCCTGCAGGCTTCCTCCTTCCCCAATGCAGATCCCACCCCCTCCAAGATGATGCCTGGGAGTCTGGCCTTTTCCACAGTCCAGAGGCCGTCCTGCTCAGCCACCCAACAGAAGTGGGGGGTCCTTTGTGGGGACTCCCCGACGACCAGGCTGCCCACAAGGCAAGAGCAAAGCTCCCCTCCGGATGAGGGAAACAGCATCTGAGCATCACACAGCATCTCTGCCCCTTTCAGAGTGCGGGTGCCATTGCGCAGACATAAACAAAAAGGGGGATGCTTCACACTCCTCCCATCAGCCTGACCCCCTTGCTACCCCTGTGGCCTGCTCCAGACATACGTCCAGATGGTATTCTTGATTAGGGACACAAAAGGATTTGCCCCGTTTTCTTCCAGTATTTCTTTTTGCACTTCCCTGAGTTGGTCTCCCATCCCATCCCATCCCATCCCATCTTTAGTAGATCCAACCCTGCTTGTATTTATTTTATTTTATTTTATTTTATTTTATTTTATTTTATTTTATTTTATTTTATTTTATTTTATTTTATTTTATTTTATTTTATTTTATTTTATTTATTTTATTATTTTATTTTATTATTTTACTTTACTATTTTATTTATTTATTTATGGAATTTATATTGCCGCCTATTTGCACATGGTGACTCCAGGTGGCTTACAGAACATAAAATTCCATATAAGAACAATAAAAATAATAAAAGAAGAGTCACATAATAAATTAATATCATAAAATCACATTTGAAATATGGATTTACAGACGACTGTTACGTATAAACTGGGTTAACAAAAATCACAAATGAGAGGTGTTAAGCCGCCTGGGAAAGTCAAGGAAAATCATCAAAAACCATTAAAAAGCAAAACTTAGAATATTTTGGACATGCGATGCGACACCTGGAAAAATACAGCATCCTTCATTCACTTAATCCTCCAGGGAAAAATTGAAGGCAAAGGAGGCCCAGGCAGAAGATGATCATGGCTTCAAAATCTAAGGGGCTGGTTTGGACAAAACTCAACAGCACTTCTTTGTGCGGCTGTTGATAAAAATAGGATGGCCAAGATGATCGCCAACGTCCAATGACGGATATGGCACAAGAAAATCACCCACCCACCCCACCCTGGCGACAGCAGATCACATGAGCCATTGAATGGGCTCCATCCTGCTCCGGGTTCCCCAGGCCCACTGGCAGAACCTGGTCTTCAGCGCCTTCCAGAAGAATGCTAGAGTGGGGGGGGCAGTCTAATCTCTGGGGGGGATGATGATCCAGAGAAAGGGGAGCCCAAACAAGGCCTGCCCCCTGCTGAGATCAATATTGTCAGAAGGTGGGCTGCTTTTAAGAGGGCAGGTCAGGAGCCCCCCTAGGAAGGGGCATCCGCCAAGTTGCCTGCTGCTCTCTGGGAAATGAGCTTCCCTGAGCCAGGGCACAATGAGCCCTGCAAGGCACAAATCTGCCACATCATTTTCAATGCATTCAAATGTTCATGATTCAGGCTTCTTCTACGTCAGATCACAGCCCTGTCAATTTAAAATGTGCAGCTTCAACCGCTTAGTAAGATGTCTGGAAGCCGGTATGTTAATGCCTCTCCACTGAATGAAAATGAATTTACAAAGCAAATAAATGCTGAGACATTGGAAGACTTTTGAAAGCTGGAAGAGCGAGTTCTGTATCTTTTTTTGGGGGGGGAGAGACTTATTGAGCTAAAATGTGCGGATGTGTTGCGGCACAAACGTTATATAAGAAACAGCTTCAAAATATGCATGAGCCTCGTTTGAACGGCTCGATTTCCCACTGCCGTGGAAGAGATGAAAAATATGTTCAGCCTTGGCTGAATTTAAGCAACATTGGACCTGATTAGAAATTGAATGGGAAACCATCTGAGGGTGTTTTTTTTCCCCCACTGTGCCCTGATGACCCCTCTGTACAACATATTAAACCTGAAATAGCAAAAGATATTTTTTTATTGGGGCGGGTGAGCTTGCGTCAATCAATAAGCTCCACAATGCTTGGAAAAGATTGCCAATTTCACACCATATGCTAAGATCCTCACAAATGCACTGAACCACAATTTTTACCTAATCCAGTGAGTTGCATGAATGATCCCTAGGGTTTTCCTGGAAAGAAGGGATGTCGTAAGCTGTGAAAGTAGCTAAAAGGCTGTTGCGGTTGGAAGAGTTCCTGTGTCAAGTAACTTTTCCAGTATTCTGTTCTTCCCTTCTCTTTCCGTTTCTTCTGCAGGTTTGCTCTGACCCTGCCTTCCCACAGTCGCGCTGCCCTCTTCCTTGCCTCCCCCGTCTCACCTGCTAGCAAAGGGTGCGGATCAAGGAAGGGGGGGGGGCTGAGGGTCACAGAGGGGTCTTTGGCTGGCTGACTGGGACCCCTGGGATTTTCAGCCTGAACCTGGGGAGAAGGGGGGCAGGAGATGGGCTTTACAGTTAAATATCTTTAACTGTAACTTCTTAACTTAAGAAGCGAAAAAGAAGAAAAGAAATAGTACAAAACTTCAGTGCAACCTCTAAGTGGTTCAAAGTTTCATTTAATCTCACGCAAAGATGTCTGGAGTGGGATGTAGGACAGAAAAAATAGTGAAGGATTTATTTGCGGGATTGCAACGATGACTTTGGTTTCACTTAACTTCATTTACTTTTATTTCATCTACATCTTGCTCCAATTAAAATAAGCACAATTGCTGTTTGCCATTTTCTCCTTCCAAAATGTAGACATTGTTTTAGTCCGTGGTGATGGGCAAAAATAGGAAGCACATTTAAAAGGGATTTAATTCGAAAAACTTTTAAATCTGAAAAGATGCTACCAGACCTCAGGGTTTTTTTTTACTTCCAAAATGGAAATCTTGGGAGATGGGGAGCGCTGCATGTGCCCCCCACCTTGGACCTGCAAATTATGCACACCTGATTGTCAGTGGGTAAAGTAGCTGAAAAGAAATGGACACCCGCCCCCCATTGCTCTTTTAGAGGACTCCAGAAAAAAACAAGAATTAGACGTTTAAAACTGTTTTCTTCCAAGAAAGCACTTGGATCACCCTACAGAATTCCTAGAATCTGTAAACGGGCTGCAAAATATATTTCTATTTTGATAGCTGGAGACCAGAAGAGGCTTTCCTGAGTGCCCGCTGGTGGTGGTGGCAGCGGCGGCAGTAGGATCCGAACTCAGGGCCCGAACTGCGTTTTCCCCAATTTTTTCCCACCAAGGGTTCCCTCATTTCTCCAACGGGGCGAGGAAAGCATCACCCTGGTTTTAATGAGCCAGAAATTCCCCCTTTTCTCCTGTGCTGGCACAAGAAAGGCTTCTAGGCTGCCAGTTGCACGCCTGGGGGTTTGGATGCCCAGGAGGGCACCGGTGGCCCTTCCCTGAAGAAGCGCCCGGTTTTGGGGCTGCCCGCAGGACGCGTGATGCGCTCCCAATCGTCAGGAGGGGCAAGGAGGGGGGGCATTTGAAAAACCACTTACCCTCCCCCGCCCCTCCCACACACAAAAAAGAGCCTTGGTGGCGCAGCAGACTAAAGCACTGTTAAGTAACACCAGCTGCCTGCAATTATTGCAAGTTCGAATCTCACCAGGCTGAAGGTTGACTCAGCCTTCCATCCTTTCTAAGGTAGGTAAATTGAGAACCCGGATTGTGGGGGCAATAAGCTGACTTTGTATTAAAAAAAAAGAACACCGCTTAGGAGGGGCCGAAAGCCCTACTAAGCAGGTATATACAAAAGTATGAAGGCTATTGCTTAACGTATTGTAAGCCGCCCTGAGTCTCCGGAAAAGGGCGGCATATAAATCGAACAAACAAACAAATAAATAAATAAATTTTGCCCCCTCCTGCAGTCACTTCCTCGGGGGGGGGGCGCTGTTCAGCCGGGGCCCCCCAGCCAAGCCGCACCGAAAGAGCAGAGAGGGCCGGGGTGGGGGCCGGGGAGAAGACCGAAGGGGGCTTCGCGGGGACCGCAACTCTTCGGCAGAGCCGCTGGCAGGATGGAGCCCGGGTGGAGGTGGGGGGGGCACTGCAGCCCCGGGCAGGGAGCATCCGCAGCGCTGGCCCAACCTCGCCGGCCGGCCCCCTCCGCAGATGCCACCAGCGGCTCTGCTGCCCCGAAGGGCTGCAACTGCACCGGGCGGGGGGCAGAAAACGCCCAGGACCCCCTCCCCCCGCCTCCTTCCCCGCTTCTTACCGGGCCAGCTGAGGAGCCGCAGCTCCGGCGGGGGTCTCGGGGGCGGCCAGGCAGGCGGCTTGACCAGCGGCTCCGGGCCTCCTTCCGGTGGCCCCCCCGTCCCCGCTCCGGGCTGGCCAGCAGCCCCCAAACTTCGGGCTCGGCGACGCCGCGGCTTCTGCGCTGCCTGCCGGCCGGCCGGTCACTTCCCGGCGCACCTGCCCGCCGCCTGGCGCCGCCCCCGCGCCCGCCCCGCGCTCCTCCGCCGCGGCTGCCCAAGCAAGGCTCGGGGGTCCGGACTGAGCCCCTGCCTCCCGCTTGAGGGGGCGCCCCGGGTGGGCTTCTGCGCTACGCCCGACACGCGACCCCCCCTCCCCGTGTGGGGGGGTCTCTTCTCACCCTCTCACCCGACCCCCCCCCCGCCGGCCCAAGGCACGGGAGGCTCTGCTGCCAGCAGCCTGGAGTTCTGCCGGGGGATCGGACGCAGCAGCCCCCCGCGCAAGGGGAACCAAGGGGGACTCGCAGGAAATGCCGCCTTTGGGCTCCTTGACCTGCTGCTGCTGCCGCTGCTGCCGTCGCTTGGAGTCACCAGCCCGAAGGCAGTTGGGGGGCTGCTGTGCTCCCCCCGCCCAGCGCAGGTTACTCCGCTTTCAATCCCCCCCCCCCCCCCAAAAAAATGGGCATCTGAGCCCGGAGGCTTTCAGGGGCCAGGAGAAAGTCAAGGCGAGACCTGCGCTCGCTGCCAGGCAGAGGCGGCCGCGGGAGACAAGAAAGGAGGACTGAAGAGCTGAGCTTAACAGGGTCGCCCCCTCCTCTCCTTTCCTTCCCCCCCCCCCCCGCTCCATTCCTAACTTTTAGGCCTTTTCAACTTTTCCTGTGTATGTATATGCGTGTGTGTGCGTGCGCGGACACCAAGTTTTCATTCCTCAGAATTGGGGCTTCCAGGGTGGTCTCTGGGCAGATCCTGAAGCCCTGATATTGCCACCTGGATATGGGCACCCTCAAGGCAGACAGGCACAGGCACCGGTGCGCAAGAGCCACTAAATTGCTCAACTTTTCCAGAATGCAAATAAAACTGTGTTTGGATTTATTTTTTTTTTAAAAAGGATTTCAGTTAGCTTTCCTTGCTTTAATTTTGAGCAACATACAAAATCAGCTATTTGGATTTGGCGGGGGGGGGGGGGGATTAAATCCCCCCACTGCCCAAGTTCTTGGAGCCCACACAGATTAACATTGCTAAAACCTGGGTACAAATTTGGCTGCCATTGGCACATGGGAAGCCTATGAAAATTGCTAGTTCTAAAACAGATACTTTTTTAAAAAAAAATCAACTTCTCAAACTCTCTCTCTCTCTCTCTCTCTCTCTCTCTCTCTCTCTCTCTCTCTCTCTCTCTCTCGCACACACACACACAGAGAGAGAGAGAGAGAGACTTCTGGCTGACAGGTACAATGAGTGCAGTACTTTGTGGCCCTCGAGCCTCCCCCCTGACTACCAGAACCATGTTTATTCTGTTCACTCCACTTTGTTTCATTGTGGTTTATTTAACAAGCTATGATTTATAATCATTACATTCTGCATTATTCAGGCTTCACTGTAAATCCAGTTTGGGTTGCAGGGCCCAAAAGGCTCCGAAAAAATCCAAACAGAGAAGGAGGTGGGGAGAAGATCAGAAACTGCCCCATCTATGTAGAGAGGGCTGCCTCTGAGAGGGGATATGATGACCTCTGCATTAAAACGAATTTTTTTTTTTAACTAGACCTGTTTTCTGATCCTGGAAATGGGAACATGCATTCAAACTACAGAAGAAAAAACTCAGTGTCAGGAAAAATAATCCAATTTACCCATAAAGCCACTGACCCAGGGAAGTAATGGTTCCCCTTCCCCAAATTCTTTCTCAGGCACCTTGCTGCCAGCCATCTGTCAGTGGCACTTGAATTTGGATTCCTGCATTGAGCAGTGGGTTGGGCTAAATGGCCTCATGGATCCCGACCAATTCTACCATTCAAGCTAAGCTTGACTGACCTGGTTATTAAGGCAGCTCCATTTCCTAGACCAGCATGGCCAATGCTGGCTGAGGATGATGGGAATTATAGGACAACGCATTAGGCGGTCAGTGCTGGTTTCCAGACCTCAGGCCATAGAAGTACTGGGAAGGGGAGGGGGATCTAGCTTGTCCTATTGCCCACCCTCCTAGGTTGCAACAGATCTTCAAGCCCTGGGAGTTGCCATCCTCACTGCTCCCCCCGAGCCCCCCAGAAAGATCCATCCGGAGAAGAAACTGTGGCCAGAGTCCTCAGAAATGTGACAAGGGTCCTGGAAAGGGGGGAGGCGGCCAGAAAACTGACCCTCGAAGAAAACCCCCGAAGCCTCCTCGGGAGCAAACGCCCCATGGCACCGGTAGCTGCCCAACCTCACGGAGGTCAGAGGAGGGGAGCCTGGCCAGTCGGGGGGACCCCGGGATTGCCCCGGAGGGAGCCCAGCTGCAAAGGATTCCCTCCAACTTGGGCGATCGGCTCGCACCGGCTGGCAGACAGTTCAGAGCAGCTGCTGCTCCTCCGGCCGCTGGGACGGATGACCTCGGGGCGCCCCCCTCGCGAAGCTCCCCGAGCCGATCTGGCCCTCGAGGAGCCCCGCCGCCTGGCTCAGCTGACCACCTTCCCAGAGCCGAGCGGGGCAGCCTCCGCCCTCGCCCCCCGGCCGGTCCTGAGCTCACAAAGCGCCCGCAGCGCAGAGGCTGGCACGCCGGGGGAGGGGCGGGGAGGGGGGGCTGCGGCTCTCCCGCGGTGGATTGTGGGAGTTGTAGTTTTTCCGGGCCGAGCTTCCCCCTCCCGGCAGGCAGGCTGCCCTTCTCGCGGCCGCCGCTCGCTCGCGTGCCCGGCGGGGGAGGAGAGGTGAGCGTGCCCGGGTCGGGGTTTTGGGGAGGGGTGGGGGTGGGGGTGGGGGTATCCACTGAACGGGCCCGGACCTGTCAGCGGGGTCGCGCAGCGCCTGCAGGAGTATGCACGCGCCTCCCAGCCACCCACCCACCCACCCCTTCCGAGGGGGTCGCGCGCAGCCGGTGCACGCGCACCTGTGTGTGTGTGTGTGTGTGTGAGAGAGAGAGAGAGAGAGAGAGAGCGGCTTTTCCCAACCGGCGCCCTCCGGGCTATGGGCTCGCTTTGCAAAATCCCATTTTGCAATTGGGGGTGGGGGTGGGGGTGGGGGGGTTGCACGAAGGGTGGCTCAGCCAATCTCATTGCACACATGTTGGACTCTGACAATAAAGGGTTGAGTTGAGTTGAGTTGAGTTGAGTTGAGTTGAGCTGCCCGTCGCCCGCCCGCCCCCCTTCCCTCCCCCGGGGCTGGGAAAGTGCCTCTGAGCCAGCCCGACCTCCCCCCTCCCCCCACACGCTCCCCCTGCCAGCTGGCTCCTTTCTGAGTCCTGCCAGGGATGGGCAAGCAACCGGCCAGGGTTATTACAGGTAGTCCTCGGGTTATTTTAGAATAGAATAGAGCTGGAAGGGACCTTGGAGGTCTTCTAGTCTAGCCCCCTGTCTCAAGCAGGAGACCCTGTACCATTTCAGACAAGTGGCTGTCTAATCTTTTCTTTAAAAAAGCCTCCACTGATGAAGCATCCACAACTTCTGAAGGCAACTTCTGTTCCACTGGTTAATAGTCCTTGCTATTAGGAAGTTTCTCCTTAATTCCAGGTTGCTTCTCTCTTTGGTTAGTTTCTTGTCCTGCCTTCAGGTGCTTTGGAGAATAAGTTGACCCCTTCTTCTTCATGGCAGCCCCTCAAATACTGGAATGCTGCTATCGTGTCCCCCCTAATTCTTCTTTTCTTTAGACTAGCCAGACCCAAACCCTGCAGTCGTTCTTCGTATGGTTTTAGTCTCCAGGCCTTTGATCATCTTAGTTGCTCTTTGAACTTACGGCCCCTATTGTAGTTGTAAATCAAGGTCTACATGGACTCTCTGTCCCAAGCAACGTCTCCCCGCCAGCCTCCCCCAAAATTTGTCCTCCAGGTATATGGAGAAAGCTGCTTCCCAAATCCTAGTTGAAATGGCAGTGATATGTAGTGTAGTATTCATATTCTGAACCCTAAAGAAAAAAAAGAATTAGGGGTGACATGATAGCAGTATTCCAGTATTTGAGGGGCTGCTACAAAGAAGAGGGGGTCAAATTATTCACCAAAGCTCCAGAAGGCAAGAAGCAACAGGTGGAAACTAATAATAGAGCCTTGGTAGTACAGTGGTCTAAAGTACCCTGTTATTAAGACCAGCTGCCTGCAGTTACTGCAGGTTCGAATCTCGCCAGGCTCAAGGTTGACTCAGCCTTCCATCTTTTCAAAGGTAGGTAAATTGAGGACCCAGATTGTGGGGGCAATAAACTGACTTTGTATAAATATACAAAAGCATGAAGGCTATTGCTTAACACATTGTAAGCCGCCCTGAGTCTCCGGAGAAGGGCAGCATATAAATCAAATTAAAAATTAAATTAAATTAAAAATAAAATAAAATAAAATAAAAGAGAGAAGCAACCTTGAATTAAGGAGAAACTTCCTAACAGCAAGGACAATTAACCAGTGGAACAGCTGGCCTCCAGAAATAGTGGGTGCTCCATCACTGGAGGTTTTTAAGAAGACACTGGGCCACCACCTATCTGTGGTAGAGGTTCTCTTGCTTGAGCAGGGGGCTGGACTAGAAAACCTCTAAGGTCCCTTCCAGCTCTGTTCCATTCCATTCTAACTTTATAAGACAACAGTGTGACCCAGGATCTCTTCTCTCTCTCTCTCTCTCTGATAGACAGTCAGTGAAATAGACACAGATGGATACGTAGCTAATCTATTTTTTTATTTTTATTTTATTTTGAATTTGTATACCGCCCTTCTCCCTGAGGACTCAGGGCGGTGAACAGCTAAGTAAAAAACATCAAGTACAAATATTAAAATACAATTAAAATATATATATATAAATTTGGCCCCATTAATTAAAAACGATAAACAAAACAATTAAAAACACTTAAAAAATTAGGCCAGCCCGGCTTGCTGGAAAAGGAAGGAATCTTTCCTGCCTTTGTCATTTTCATTAATAACTCAAAGCCGCTAACTTACCCAATGTTCCTCCTGTTTTCCCCCCAACAACCTTGTGAGGTGGGCTGGGCTGAGTGAAAATGACTGGTCCAAAGTCACCTAGCCAGCTAGCTTTCATCCTGGTTTCTAGCTTGTTGCCGTAGCCACGAGGCAAAACTGGCTCATTATGTGTGCTTGCCTCAGTGTGGTTTTGCACACTGTATAAACATCAGTTCACAAGCCGCATTTATATCTTGGAACTATCTAGACATCTAAGTACACTTTGGTTAACCATGGCTCGTCACTATGTGTACTTAAACTCTGCTTTCCTTTCACTAAGAAAAAGGAAGTTTTCCTGCCCCACCAAAATGTCTGGGGCAAAAAAAAAAATGTCTCCTTGAATAGTTTGGAAATCTGGTTTTCCCCCGTTCTGCCTTCCCCAGATGAAGTTTCTTCCAGTCCTGAAAAGCTGGGAAGAATGGATGGTTCCTGGAATCCACCGTTGGGCCTCCCACGCCTCTGTGCCCCAGGCTGCCCCCTCCCTGGCATTCGTCCCAGCCAGCCCTCCTCCAGACGCTGGGGCAATAGAGAAACTCCAGATGTTCGTTCTCCACTGCCAGCGGCTCTTTGTCTTGACCGGAGCAGGAATCTCCACCGAATCCGGCATCCCGGACTACCGCTCTGAAGGCGTGGGCCTCTATGCCCGGTCTGACAGGCGGCCCGTCCAGCACGCCGAGTTTCTCCGCAGTGCCGCAGCCCGGCAGAAGTACTGGGCCAGGAACTTTGTGGGGTGGCCCCAGTTTTCCTCCCACCAACCCAACGTGGCACACTGGGCTCTGAGCAGCTGGGAACAGCAGGGGAAGCTGCACTGGCTGGTGACCCAGAATGTGGATGCCCTCCATGCCAAGGCTGGGAGTCGGCGCATGACTGAGCTGCATGGCTGCACACACAGGTGGGGAAGGGGAAGGGGGTGCCAAGCCTGACAGGGAAGGTGCCTAGCATTTCAAATGCCCAGCACATCTGCTGCCTGCATTTCAGGCCCCAACACTGGCCTGGCCCTGTGGCTCTGGGTTCGAATGCAGCTGGAAGCTGGGGGCGGGGGGCATGACTTCGCTTGAGCTGAAAGTCACCACAGCTTCTGAATGGCCCCACTTGAAATGGGGCGGCATTTAGAATGATGTTTTTTTGTTTTATAAAAAGATATTATTCTATAAGGGTAGTTTGGAGGGAGGGAGCTAAATGCAATATTGAAGTTTAAAGCCTATATGTTAAGAAGTCAAAGAAGAAGATGTATTAGAAAGTTTTGATTTTTTTTAAAAAAGTGCTTCTTTGTGTGTTTTTTAAAAGTTTAGTACTTTGAAGGAAAGAAGAGGGTGAAAAAGAAGAGAAAGGGTTCCCCCCCTTTTTTTCCCCCTCTTTCTTTCAGTAGAGCCAAAGAATTTGAAAGAATACAATAGATTTTGTAAATAAAAATGGTGACAGGTCCCAAAGATTAGTAGGTGCAAATAGAAATGCACCTTATTTCCATAGCAAGGAAGATAAAGCAGGAATGATTGATTTGACTACTTTATTTGAAGAGGAAAATACGTTCTTATTTGGATATCACTTCTGGAATTTGTGCTCATGAAGAAAAAAAATGAAACTTTGATCGTGGTTTTGTTGATTAGAAAGATTTGGTGTTATAGGAATGGCCAGTTACATATTAATGTGCAAAAGCAAAAAGTTGAGGTTGGAGTGTGTTTATCTTGTACTGAGCTAGGAAGAGTTGGAAGTCAATGCCCCCTTTCTTCTTCTCTTCCCCCTCGTATTTCACACCCCCTTCCCCCCCTCCCCCGTTCCCTTTCCCTCCCTCCCTTAATTTCCTATTTTCTTTTCTTCTTTATTTATTTATTTTATTTACAAATATTTAGATGCTGCCCTTCTCCCAAAGGACTCAGGGTGGCGAACACAAGTTAAAAACATACAATAAGCTTTAAATTTTATATAATAAAAATAAAAATGATTGGAATTCTTATGAAATGGGGCAGCATTTAGGATGAGCAATCAGGTGAGCTTGGTGGACCTCTGATGGTTGTGAGTGGCCAGGAGCATCTCTCCAGCAATTTCTGCCTGCCATAAGGCAGAGGCAGCCGGTGTGGGCAGCAGCTTGCCCTCCTGAGCCCCCTGCCAATTTTTTCTGCTGGAGATGGGGAGCTCCCTGCTGCCTTCCTGAGTGGTGGAGGACATGATCCTCCTGCACGTAGCTGCAACCGCTAGCAATTTATTATAATATCCGCGGAGTGTGCAGGTCTGCGAGGAACAAGCGTTGTCTTGCCAGCCTGAGCAGACAGATTCTGCTCACCCCACAGATCCCTTTTTCAAAAAGAAAAGGGGGGTGCAGGAGTATTTTCTTTTTTTGGTGATGTGATACAAAATGGATAATCAAACGAAAGGAGAATTTAATTCTGCTCATAGTTCTAAACTGTATTGGGAATAATATTCCCAATGTTAGAAAAAGAGGAAAAGTGCTTCGCACTGCTTTGTAATGTGGGAAAAACGGCATAACCGTTTGGCAGCCATCATATGCCAAGACCATTTGAGTAGAATCCATTCATTTATTATTTGTTTATGTCCCTTTGCTCCGGACCGTCCTTCCTTGAGTTCAACAGAGTAGATTTTGGCTATGACTCTCATAACGGAAAAGACACCGAAGTCAAGAATCTGCAAAGCAAGGCCAGGAAGAAAATGGGTTTTGGGGTTTGTGGGAGAGGCTGTGGGGCCAGCAGGAGGCAAGGGGTGAATCTGCAACTGTGGGGGGCTAGAGATCTTTGATCCCTGCCTGCTGTCCTCCAGACTTAGCAGAGAGGGACTTCCATGGTTGCCAGGCAGGGATGATAGCAGAGGCCTTTCTCCAGAAGAGTCCTTCACAGCCCCCATCAAATAAGGATAGATAGAGTATTAAATGTATTTTGAGCAGCGAGGACTTAGGGTGGTACAGCTGCAGAAAAGGAGTGATTGAGAGGACACCTCTGAGCTGGCATCCTGTTGCGATGCCCGTGTCTCATCTTGGCATCTAGTATACACCCAATGATGTTGATTTGGCTCAAATTCAGCTTTGCATGTGATGTGAATCCAGCCTCTTCTTGTGGCCCATAAACCAAGATTTACGACTGAGTAGGAAGGCTGGACCCAACTAAATTATGGACTGTAAAGAAGAGATATGGACCTTCGTTCTCCAGCCCTTGAAGGATCTGGGTCAAAGGCTTGCATGCATTGGGAGGTTCCCCCCAATCACCCCTTGCCCCCTCCCCTGGTCCTTTGCAAGTGTGGGCCTCAAGATCCCACCAGATCTTCTTTGAGCTAATGGAAGTTTGGTGCAGTAAACCAGGGGTCTCCAACCTTGGTAACTTTAAGACTTATGGACTTCTACTCCCAGAATTCCTCAGCCAGAAAATTCTAGGAGTTGAAGTCCACAAGTCTTAAAGTGGCCAAGTTTGGAGACCTCTGCTCTAGACTTAAGGTGTTGTGGGAACCGCCATAAATCATAAAGTTTCTTTATTTTGCGGTTTGTCTGTGAAGTCTCCTCCGTTCCTTCATATTCACTCAGTGGATAACAGCCTCTGGCTGACCTTCTCTGGGCTTGAAAACTAAGTGGGGTCAGGCCTGATCCTGACTTGGAAGGAGACCAGGAGCGAATCTGAGAAATTTCAGCTAGGCTACCAACTTGAAAAGAGCCCTGGAGCGAGGCAGCGGGCAGCAAGGCAAACCCATTGGTGCTCCTGCGAAGAAGAGGTACTAGTACCACTCTAAAGCCTTAGTAAGGCCACACCTAGAGTACTGCATCCAGTTTTGGTCACCACACAATATAAGAAAGATGTTGAGACTCTAGAAAAAGTGCAGAGAGGAGCAACCAAGATGATGAGGGGACTGGAGGCTAAAACATACAATGAACGGTTGCAGGAACTGGGCATGGCTAGTGTAGTGAAGAGAAGGACCAGGGGAGACAGGATAGCAGCCTTCCAATATTTGAGGGGCTGCCACAGAGAGGAGGGGGTCAAGCTATTTCCCAAAGCACCTGAAAGCCAGACAAGGAAAAATGGAAACTGGACAAGGAGAGATTCAATGTAGAAATAAGGAGAAATTTTCTGACAGGGAGAACAATCAACCAGAGAAGGAACAGAAGTTGCCTTCAGAAGTTGTGGGAGCTTCATCACTGGAGGCTTTCAAGAAGAGACTGGACTGCCCTCTGTCAGAAACGGTGTAGGGTCTCCTGCTTGGGTGGGGGGTTGGACTAGATGACCTACAAGGTCCCTTCCAACCCTGTTAATCTAATCTAAAACCTGAAGCATTGACCTCAACTACTTTTCTATTTTCTTATTTTATTTTCTTATTTTCTAATGTGGGGGGTGGGATTTAGTTGCTAGGAATCGTGAGATGGTCCCTTCCTTCTCTCCAAGCTTAGAAATCCATCTCTCCGGTGACCCTTGAAAGCCTCTTCCTCCACAGGGTCGTGTGCCTCAGTTGTGAGGCCCAGATCTCCCGTGAGCATCTCCAGGAACATTTTGAGGCCTTGAACCCCACGTGGACAGCTGAGTCCCATGGCGTGGCCCCTGATGGAGATGTCTTTCTGCCGGAAGAGCAGGTGCGCCATTTCCATGTCCCATCGTGCAGCAAATGTGGCGGGGTCCTCAAGCCAGATGTGATTTTCTTTGGGGACAATGTGTGCAAGGAGAAAGTGGACTTTGTGTACCAGCGTCTCGAGGAGTCCGATGCGGTCCTCGTGGCCGGGTCTTCCTTGCAGGTATGTGTGCAATTCTGCCTCTGAGGTACCCGGCGAGGTAGTGTCAGCCTGCAGGCTGCCTCGGCCTTCTCCGGCCTGGGTATGGATGATCAATCAATCAATCAATCAATCAATCTGTGAGGCACGAAGGCCTTGGAAGCAGCTGAGGGCCTCCAAAACAGGTTGGGCTCCCCAAAATCTCTGGTTAGCTGATGGGGTGTATGGAGACATTGATCTAGAATGTGGGTGTCAAACTCAAGGCCGGTGGGCTGGATCTGGCCTGCGGGTGCTTCATAGCAAAGGACCAGCCTGTTTTTGGCCTCCCCGGCCTCCTGCAGCACTCTGCCAGCCAAAAACGGGCCTCGTGAGGCCTCCACATCAGTAGTGGGTTTCAATTTAGTTTGCTATTGGTTTGCTTGTGTGCGCGGGGGCGCTCATGTGCACATGCAACACTTCTGCCTTTGCACAGAAGCATCCGGGTCGGTGGGCGGAGCCTCCTGCCACTGCTGCTACCAGTTTGTCCGATCCAGGGCGAACCGATAACAACCCACCACTGCTCCACATGGCCCGTTTTTGGCTGGCAAAGTGCTGCAGGAGGCTGTCCAGGCTGAAAACAGGCTGCAGGGTGGCCGAGTGTGGCCCCCTCCACACCCCTTTTGCCAGCATGCCTGGCTGGAAGATTCTGGGAGTTGAAGTCCTTCTTCTTCTTCTTGTGCCATATCCGTCATCGGATGTTGGCGATCATGTTGGCGATCCTATTTCTATCAGCAGCCGCATGAAAAAGTGCTGCTGAGTTTTGTCCAAACCGGCCCCTTCAATTTTGAAGCCATGATGTTGTTCTTCTGCCTGGACCTCCTTTGCCTTCAATCTTTCCTTGGAGGATTAAATGGAGTATTTCGTATTTTTCTGGGTGTTGCATCCCATGTCCAAAATATTCTAACTTTTTGCAGGCGGCTTATCACTTCCTCCTTTCTGATTTTGTCAACCCAGCCTATACATAACCTGTAAATCCACATTTCAAATGCTTCTAGTCTCTTCAAGTGGCTTTCTGTCAGACACCAACTTTCCACGCCGTAGAGCAGGATAGAAAAGATGCAACATCTGAGAAGCCTCATTTTCAGTCTTAGGCTTATGTCGTGACTGCAGAAGACTTTTTTCAAGGTCTTTTTGAAGTCCACACACCTTAAGGTTGAGAAAACCCTGCCTAATCCATAAGCAGGGATGAGGTGGCTCAGTGGCTAAAATGCTGAGCTTGTCGATTGAAAGGTCGGCAGTTCAGTGGTTCAAATCCCAAGTGCCACGTAACAGGGTGAGCTCCCGTGACTTGTCCCAGCTTCTGCCAACCTAGCAGTTCGAAAGCAGGTAAAAAATGCAGGTAGAAAAACAGGGACCACCTTTGGTGGGAAGAACAGCGTTCCGTGCGCCTTTGGCGTTGAGTCTTGCCGGCCACATGACCACAGAGACATCTTCGGACAGCACTGGCTCTTCGGCTTTGAAATGGAGATGAGCACTGCCCCCTAGAGTCAGGAACGACTAGCACATATGTGCGAGGGGAACCCTAACCTTTACTAATCTGTAAGCAGAATTGGCCCAAGGCTGAGAGTCTTGGTGTCATGTGTCAGCACATCCAGAGGGCATCCAGTTAGGTAGGGAGAGCTTGTCAGCCATATGCTTCACTTCATCTAACGAATGTTTGTTTTGTGTCTGGCAGGTCTTCTCAGCTTACAAATTTGCGCTTGCTGCCCGGGACAGGAAGTTGCCAATTGCCATTGTTAACATTGGCCCCACGCGGGCCGATTCCTTGGCTTCTCTAAAGCTGAATTCCCGCTGTGGGGCACTGCTGCCTTCGATTCTCCTTTGAGTGACCTGGTGGGCATCCAGACCAGTAAAGATTCAAGAGTAATTGTGGGAATGCTGTGGAAGTGGGCTGGTTTGAGGTCCAGGGGGCTGAGTCAAATACCACAAAGATAGCCACGGCCTAGAAAGAGCTTTGTAGAACATAGATTTATAGGATCGGAAGGGATCTTAGAGCAGGGGTCCCCAACTTTGGCAACTTTAAGCCTGGTGGACTTCAACTGATGTGTTGTCTGTTCAAGAAGCTGTTTCATTGGCCAAAATGCCAAGAGGTATCATCTTCCAGAAGAGATTCTCCATGGAAACCCTCCCGCTGTCCTCTTCCCTCAAAACTCTTTTTCCATCCTTCTCTTGGGTTCCAGCTGTTATCTTGACTCACCATCTTAGTATTGTGGTTTAAAGCCAATGGAGATAAAAGAATCTCACTCTTAAGAGAGCTTTGATCTCTCCCAACCAACCAGCAGCTTGTGAAATCAAGCAGTAATCCAAGCAGGACTCAGCCAAATGGAACAGGAAAAATCTAGATCTTGTCTTCTCTCACCTTGGCCATTAAGCCAGCAGGCCGCGTAGACTCTCAGCTCATCATTCAATGACAAAGCATTTTGCCTTTTTAGTACTGGAAATATTATATACTCAAGTGGGCCTGTGAGCTCCCTCAAACCCACCCCTCCTGCAGCCTTCAGATGTCCACAACATTGAACTGTGCCTCTCCTGTGCACCAGCTCCACTGCTGTTTTTTAAGAAGGGGAGGGGGACGAATAAAGGCCCCTGTTTCAGAGAAATCTTGTCTTCCTTCCTGAGGAGCATAGAAAAGTCACGGCTACCTGTGAACACGCCGTGCTAAGCTCTATTGTTACAGTGATTTTAAAAGCAATTAAACACACAGAGTGACTTTCCTCTTTTTAAGTAATTCAATTGTGTAATAGCACAAGATGAAGAAATCCCTGCAGGATTATTTCAGGACCTTTGATCTAATTTTCCCCCTCCCCAGTCCTTGGACATACACAGGCAGGGCACACAGAGAAAAAGCAGAACGATTGCACAGTAAGAGGGTTGGTGCGCGATTACAGCAATCTGACATTGCTGTAAACTTCAGTTTTTTCCTTGCTTTTAGGAATCAAAAGGTACAAAGGCAGCTACGGCTTTTCCCTGTTTGAAAAGGTTTGGTGGAAGAGGCAGAAGGAGAAGGGGGGGAGCTGCTGATGGGCCTTGTTGGCTGAGCAGATCTTTTCATGCCAAAGACTTTACAATCAGTGATCCTCAAATACAGTGTTTCCTACTTCAGTGTTTCCTATTTGCGCATGGCCTGAACTCTGGTTTTCCTTTCGGCTATTGTGCAGCTGGGGAAGGTTTTGTGGCCATGGCTTGTTCTTCCCACACTGGCTTGTGCTCTGCATCCGACAGCCTCCCCGGCTTGCCGGGGACCAAAAGGAGTGCGATGCCTTGATGCTGGTTATAAGCAGGGGTGAAATGCTCCCAGTTCGGACCAGATCACCCGATCCGGTAGCAATGGCGGTGAGTGGTTCAGAGAACTGGTAGCAAAAATCCCTGCCCCCCCCATGCCCAGCTGAGCCGCACGATCATCAGAGGCTTTTTTTTTCTTTTAAAAGCATTTTTTCTACAACCTCTTCCGACGAAAAAATGCTTTTAAAAGTAAAAAAAAAAAGCCTCTGATGATTGCGCGGCTCAGCTGGGATCATCAGAGGCTTTTCAAAGCATTTTTTTCTGCAACCTCTTGGCCGAAGAGGTGGTGAAAAAAATGCTTTGAAAAGTCTCTGACGATCCCAGCTGAGTTGCCTGATCAGCAGAGGCTTTTCAAAGCATTAGAAAAAATGCTTTGAAAAGTTAAAAAAAAAAAAGTTGGCCACGCCCACCCAGTCACATTACCCCACCACCACCAAGCCACGCCCACAGAACTCTACATTTCACCCTGGTTATAAGTGGTGGCCCTGGCCTTCCTTGGAGAGGAGCCCAGATTTGGGGACTGATCGGAGCATCTGGCCTGCTCAGATTGACCTCTCCAGGGAGATGGTGGTGGGTTTGGACTTGGGGGGGGGGTCTTGGGTTCAGTGTGGCCCCACTTGGGCCTGCTTCCCAGGAGTGTAAGATAAAACCAGAGGTGCTGCCCTGCCTCAGATGAAGGGTGGGAGAGGAATTCAAAAATAAACCAAAAGGAACAAAGTGTTTAAAGTTCAGCCTTCCACACAAGGCAGTGGGAAAAGCTGAACCTCTTGCCATCGGAACCGATTGCCACAAGACCAGCTTTCCCGCTTCCAGATTTCAGTTGATCCTCCCAAACATTGAACTCCATCCCAGCAGGAATCATTTAGGGAGGGAGCCTCAATTCTCACGTTTTCCTTCTCCCTCTTATGTTGGGGCACTGAGGGCAGGAATTGTACAGGCAGTCCTCAAATTACAACAGTTCATTTAGTGACTCTTCGAAGTTACCACGGCACTGAAAAAAGTGACTTATGACCGTTTTTCACACTTACAACCGTGGCAGCATCCCCATGGTCACACGATCACAATTTAGACGTTGGACAACGGACTCACATTTATGACGGTCGCAGTGTCCCTAGGGGTCACGTGTGACCTTCTGACAATCAAAGTCAATGGGGAAGCCAGATTCACTTTGTAACTGTGTCTACTAGCTCAAGTTGTCAACTTAAGTGATTCACTTAATAATTGTGGCAAAAAAAGGTCGCAAAATGAGGCAAAACTCACTTTAGCCAACTGTCTCGCTTAGCAACATAACATTTTGTGTTTCAATTGTGGCCATTAAGTCCAAAATTGAAATTCAGAATTTATTATTCTACAAAAGTCTCTGGGAGTTGTATCCAATCAAACCAAATAAATTTTGCCCACTGATCCAGGCCCAGAAACTTTCCTCTCCCTCTGAAGTAGAACCAGGGAGTGGACATGTGCACTAAAAAGAGTGCTAAAACCTACAATGAACGGTTGCAGGAACTGGGCTAGTGAAAAGAAGGACCAGGGGAGACAGGATAGGAGCCTTCCAATATTTGAGGGGCTGCCACAGAGAGGAAGGGGTCAAGCTATTCTCCAAGGCACCCGAAGGCCAGAGAAGGAATAATGGGTGGAAACTGAACAAGGAGAGATTCAACCTGGAAATGAGGAGGAATTTTCTGACTGTGAGAATAATCAACTGATGGAACAAGAGTTGCCTTCGGAAGTTGTGGGAGCTTCATCACTGGAAGCTTTCAAGAAGAGACTGGACAGCCATCTGTCAAAAATGGTGTAGGGTCTCCTGCTTGAGCGGGGGGTTGGACTAGATGACTTACAAGGTCCCTTCCAACTCTGTTAATTTATTTATTTTTATTTATTTATTTGGTTCGATTTTATATGCCGCCCTTTTCCGGAGACTCAGGGCAATGCGTTAAGCAACAGCCTTCATACTTTTGTATATACCTGCTTAGTAGGGCTTTTGGACCCCCCTAAGCGGTGTTCTTTTTTATACAAAGTCAGCTTATTGCCCCCACAATCCGGGTCCTCATTTTACCTACCTCGGAAGGATGGAAGGCTGAGTCAACCTTGAGCCTGGTGAGATTTGAACTTGCAGTAATTGCAGGCAGCTGGTGCTACTTAACAGCACTTTAGTCTACTGCGCCACCAAGGCTCCTTAATCTGTAAATCTAAATCTGAATTCATGTGAAACGCTGGTATCGGGATTGCTGCGGTGCTCATGCTTTCTTCACGCAGGGATGTAAATCAGTGGCCAAAAATCCCTCGGGCCAAAGCTTCCTCAGGCAACTTTTGAAACCGCTGTAATATTTATTTTGGATGGCTGTCAATCTCTCCGTCCTGGAGAGAACCTGAGTCAGCAATTGACGCGCCACCAACCCACCTGGGCCAGGCCCTGATTGGGTGCTACGGTGGCCTCCTGCCTTTCATCAGAGCTGGAAAAACTGCATTTCTGAACCTTGTGATGAGCTTGCAAAGAAAAAGCGGGTGAAGCTTAATGACAGAGCTCAGTAGCTGGCCATGGCGCTCCTCAAGATCATCGTCCCTCTCCTGATTGGGCTCGGCGCTTACTATTACTACCCGCAGGAAACTTTCTCTGCAGGTAAGGAGGGTAGATTTCCCCCACGGGGATGCCAGGCCGTGGCTGTGTTTCTGCTTTTTTCCTTTTTTAATTATTATTTTTTCCGTTTAACGGAGAAGGACGGGCTTCCCTGGAGAGGGGAAAATGTGGGTGAAGCTCTTGCACGAAAGGTGTGAAGAAGGTGAGCTGGTTTTGGTCTCGCCAGGACGGCGGCCCATTTGTGGTCTTCTCACAATGTGCTTGGACCTTCACACTAAAGAAATGGGTTGAGGTCCCACAACTCACACACACCATCCAGCTTAGCACTGGCAAGCGTGGCAGCCGTCATCCATTTCGTTAAGCCCATTGCCTGACTGATGGGGACGTGTGATTCTCTCTGCACCCTACGTGTGCCCTGTCATTCAGAACCCAACCCCCTCCCCCCCCAAGGGAAACGGCATGCCGGAGAATCTCCAGATTTCAGATTGGGAAGGATTGGAACAGAAGTTGCCTTTGGAAGTTGTGGGAGCTTCATCACTGGAGGCTTTCAAGAAGAGACTGGACTGCCATCCGTCAGAAATGGTTTAGGGTCTCCTGCTTGAGCAGGAGGGGGGGTTGGACTAGATGACCTACAAGGTCCCTTCCAACTCTGTTAATCTGAAGGCGGGGTTTCAAGAAGCAGAAAAGGGCAGGATGGAGACCAGGAAGGCTGGCAGAAGATCTGGAAGCATCAGTTTTGCGTTTCAGCTACATCAGGGTGCCACACACTGGATTCTCTGCTCCAGCTGGACCGGCTGCGGGAGCAGGAATCCACTAGCAGATTGTGGTGCCCTTCAACAGATGGCATCTGTGGCCCAGGGCTGGGGCATCCGGCTTTCATCCCACGGCTGTCCCAGTTACCTGGGTGGGTCACATCAGAGGAAGAGACGGGGAGCTGCTTTTGGGGCTTCAGGTTGAGCAGACTTCAGCCCAACCTCAGGGCACCTGGGTGAGTCCCCATCCACCCACCCCAAAGAAGCGGCACTGATCGCGTTTGAAGTGGCTGCAGGGCACCTTGGCAGTTCTGCAATCCCCACCTGCAATTCTTGCTCACCTGGTGGGAGGTTGAGTGTCCCTGATTCCTTAGTGTAGCTGGTGGCCAGTCATATTCTAGTTTTGGTGTTCAGGTGGGAGCTAGGAGAGTGTAGAAAGAGCCAAGTTGACATGGGCAATGCACTGGCTGGGGGAATTCTGGGAGTTGAAGTCAAAGTCACTGAAGTTGAGGAATTCTGGCCCCTGGAGGAGCGAACTGCAGAAATTGGTGCTGGCAGAAATTCCTGGGAGCTGAAGTCCATAGATCTTAAAATTGCCTGGTGGGTTGGGAAATTCAGCCAGTTCAGAACCTGGGGGGAAGGGTGGGGGGAGGGTAGAATTTGGGGCCGAGAAAAGATGCAATTAGCCTAAAAGAAGGGAAGAAGAGGTAACCAAAGCGGAGAGAACCAGACAATCCGCTTTCTCCACCGAAACCTGAAAAGTCCCATCAAATCCCACCCACTGAGAAGGAAAACTCTGCCATCAGCTGGTTGCACAAGTGATTAGGTTAAGAAGTGGGGGGGGGGGGCTGCCCTGCTCCTATTGGCATTCAGCAACTGAGGATTTCCCCCCCCCTCCACTGAATGGAGGACTGTTTGTTCTCTTTCGGGGTGGGAGAGTTTGGCTTTTCTCCATGCCAAAATGCCCCCCCCCTCTCTCTCCCACTTCTCTGGCCAACCCACGGAGCATCGGAGGTGAATGCTCTACTGGACTCTTGGCTGCTGCCTCACTTCGATGTGGGTTGGCAAGGCGGGATGGGGTCAGCAGACCGCTGGCATGTCCCAAACGACCTGTGTCCCCGATGAAGGGGGGGCGGGGTGGAGCGAAGAGAAGGGTGGGGGGGCTGTTGGAAGCGAAGCCTTTCGTTGGAATTTGCCCAGAGAGGCAGCAGAGAGGCGGGCCGACGGAGCTCTGGGTAGGGAATCGAGTAAGGGTCCAACGGAGGGGGGGAGGATAATGCTGTCACTCCTCCCCGACTATTTACTTGCTCGTTTATGCACTTTCCTGCCCAAGGAGGGGCTTTCAGATCTGTACCCACTAGAACAGTCCCTTAAGACCAGGGGTCTCCAACCTTGGCAACTTGAAGCCTGGCGGACTTCAACTCCCAGAATTCCCCAGCCAGCAAAGCTGGTCAGGATCGAACTCCAAAGCTGGCTGGGGAATTCTAGGAGTTGAAGTCCGCCAGGCTTCAAGTTGCCAAGGTTGGAGACCCCTGCTTTAGACGAATTTAATAAAAAGATGAACTATAAACTGGTTCCAATAAGAGTCCGAAGCACTAAAGGTTGAAGGAATAGAGAAAATTCACAGAAGGGAACAAAGAGCAATAAAATAGGGCTGGAAGGGTCCTCGGAGATCCTCTAGTCCACCCCCGCTGCTCAAGGCAGGAGGTCCACGCGTGGGGCCCTGGACCTCCTCCTCCCTTAGCTAAAGACCTTCGGCCAGCATCTTTTTCCTGGCCGGGCCAGAGCTCGCGTGTCTCCGGCCGGGCAACGAAATCCACGGGCCGTCTCCTCTTCTTGCCTGCAGAGATGGTGCGAGGAATGCGCGTGTTGGTGACGGGTTCGAGTTCGGGCATCGGGGAGCAAATGGCCTACGAGTTTGCACGGATGGGCGCCCACCTGATGCTGACCGCCAGGAGGGAGGAGCAACTGCGGAAGGTAAGCGGGCGAGATCGTCTGAACAGGGCCAGCCCTGCAACGGATCGCAGCCTCCTCTTCCTCTCAACCCATGCTCCACTGCCTCGCTCGGTCTTCAGCAAGACCGCTTTCCCACGCGCAAAAGAAAGAAACGTTTGAAACTGGCGAGAGATTCTCTCGGTATCCCAAAGGTGCTTTTTCAAGAGGCAACTGGACTTTCTGGTTTTTCTCGGAAGACGTTTCGCTTCTCATCCAAGAAGCTTCTTCAGTTCTTCTGACTCTCCCCACTATCCAGTAAGAGCTGAAGAAGCTTCTTGGATGAGAAGCGAAACGTCTTCAAAGAAAAAAAAAACCCCAGAAAGTCCAGTTGCTTCTTAAAAAAGCACTTTTGGGACAACCATGACCTGGATGGTGGAGAATCTCCATAGATTCCCTCTCTAGCTTCAGTCTCAAACGGGTGCCGGGTGCGAATCCAGCTCCTCTGCTTATCAGAGTCGGGGCAGCGCCCTTCCTGCTTGCTGGGGCACCCCGATGCTGCCGCCCCCACCCCAGCCAGTCTGGAGGGATGCTCTGAGCAACCACTAAGCTCGGTTTCAGGAAACAGGCGGGTGGGGGTGGGTGGGGGCTCAAAATAAGCATGAAAGCCAATCCTGCTGACAGCGACTGATCTCATCAGCTGCTCTTGAGTCCACAAAGTTATTTTTTTTAAAAAAAGAGGGCAGCCATGCATCTTGACTTTTTGTTGTTGTTAAAGATTGGTAGATCTTTCAGTTTTCTTTTATTTTTTCTGTTTGAATTTTTCAATGCCATAAAACCACGCAAAATTAAAAGATTTTTTAAAATGTATATAAGGAAAAAAATAAAATTAAATTAAAAAGAAAACATAGACTCATGATTCCTGCTCTTCGTTCTATCAAGTAGTTGCCATCTAAATCCTTTCACCTTCCTGTTTAACTTACTTTTTTAATCCCCAGTCCATACATCATCGATTTAGTCTTTTGTCTTTCAACAAATGTCCATATAAGGCTTCCAGTCTTTCAAAAAAGCCTTTCCTTGACCAAACTAGTCAGTTTCATTTTTTTTCCACAAGTTTTCTCATCAATATTACAAGTCATATTTCCTGTTTTAATGGGTTATTTTATGGGCAAAGGGTTTTAAATTTTGGGAAGCCAATTTGATTTAATTCTGTTTTCATTTATTTTAATTTTTATATTGTATGTATTTTAATCTTGGCTGTTCACCGCCCTGAGTCCTTCGGGAGAAGGGCGGTATACAAATTTAATAAATCTAATCTAATCTAATCTGTTTCATTTCATTATTCCCCCATCTTTGTGCATGCAATACTCTCAGCGCAGTTATCATATATACAATATGCCATATTAATTTCCGACACTTATTTTGTAATTCATTGTCCATGAACCCCCAATAAAATGATTTTGGTTTCATCCTAATATTAAGACTGGCAGAGATTCAAGTGCTGTGTCATGGCCACCATTGTGACTTTTTTGACCAAACACTGGTTCTTGTGAATCCTTTCCAGGGGTGAAATCTACTTACCTTCCTTACCAATTTGGAAGAGCATGCATCATTTGCGCGCGTAGACCCTCTGCACGTGCGCAAAACCTGCGCACGCGCAGAGGGTAAAAAACACATTACTTCCTGGTTAAAACCAGGAAGTAACAACACCCAGGTGGGTGGGAGGAGCCTCGTGTCACCATCGCTACCGATTCTCCGAACCACCTGCCACAATCGCTACCGGATCCCCCGATCCAGTCCAAACCGGGAGCATTTCACCCCTGGTCCTTTCCAACCCTTTGCCTTCTTTTTCCCTTCCTCTTCAGGTGGTGAAGAAGTGCCAAGACCTGGGCGCCAGTTCTGCCCACTACGTGGTTGCAGACATGGGCAACCTGACCGCTGCCCAGGAGGTGGTGGAAGAAACTAAGGCCAAGTTGGGTAAAGATGACCTTTTCCATTTCACCCTTGTGCCTCCTTGGGGGTGGGGGTGGGGGAGACTGAGGAATTGGCTGCTCTGTGTGTATGCAGGTAAGGCGGTATTCAGCTTCCTTTACCTATCCCAGCCACCCCCACCCTTCCCAGGATCGTCTATCCCTCTCTATAGAAGTCTTCATCCCCCCTTCCAGGACTTTGCTGTCCCCTCCTTTCTGCATGGAGAAGAGCACCCAAGATCATATTTCCATGGCTCCTCCAGCATGGGAGAATCCATGCAGCAAATGGGGTAGGGGAGGTACAGTGGCCTAGAGGTAGATCTCTCACCTCACAATCAGGAGGCTGTGAGTTCGATCCTAGGTAGAGGCAGATATTTCTCTCTCTGGGCACAATGAGAACGTATCTGCTGAACAAAACTCTGCATTGGCGACAGGAAGGGCATCCGGCCAGTAAACACTCAGCTCCATTCAGTTGCCCAGACTCTACCCAACAAGGGATTATGGGGTCATGAAACGTCAAAGAATAATGGGGTGGGGGAGGCAACCTCTTTGAAAGGCAACGAGCAATTCAAATCTTTGTGGTGCACCTGTGAGGACACTTTTTCTGGGCTTTGGGGCTGTGCCTAGAGACATGTTTGGTCTCGGGTGTTTGCGAGAGGGGCTTCATGTGCTCTGCATCACACGTGGCCCTTAGAATCCAGAGTTGGCCACCGATATTGGGCAATGTGAATAACAGAATAACACACAAGTGGGAAGGCATCTTGGCAATCTTCTAGTCCAACCCCCTGCTCAGTAGCAATAGCAACAGGACTTACTTATACACTGCCCCATAGTCCTTTACAGCATTCAATGTCAGCATGGTCTGCATATTGCTCCCAGCTATCTGGATGGAAGGCTGAGTCAACTTTGAGCTGGTCAGGATCGAACTCCAAGCAGTGGGCAGAGTTTGTTTGCAATGTTGCATTCTGACCACTGGGCCATCAGGGCTCCTTGCAGTCCAAAGGGCTGGATTTAATAACACAGTAAAGTGAGCAGGAAAAGCGAGGATGCCCAGCAATGGGGGGAGGGGCATGCTCAATCCTGTCCCAGAGGATCAACCACTTTGGCTCCTGGCCTTGCAAAAGCTTTAAGCCCCAAGGTATCTCAATGCCTCGCCATGTGCTGGCCTGGCTGACTGACCTTCGCCTGTTAGGCTCCCTCCAGTGTTGACCTGTGATGTCAGGATCCAGCCCCTTTGTAGACCTCTGCATGCCCAGCTGCCCTACCCGGGACTCCATGCTGGAAGACACCCTCCAAGGGTGGCAGCAAGCCAGCTGTCAGCACTTCAAACTACATTCGTTCCAGTGCTGACATAAGGAGGAGAAGAGAGGGCAGCTGGCAAGAGGATGCTTGACTTTTCACCTACTTATTTTCCCTGAAGATAATACCCCCTAGGAGATGGGTTGGGAGGGGGCACATTCCTGGGAGCTGAAGTAGTAGATATGGGGAGAGTGATTTGGAAGAGGGCCAATGAGACGCAGAGAATCGGGGAACAGAAAGGGAAGGTTTGGGGTCAGGAAGTCAGTGTTGGCTTCGACATAATCAGGGACAGATTGTCATGCTGAATAAATGAAAGATTTCATCAAAGACTATTTGTTTGGAAATGCAATTTATTTGAGACGACATCGAAACCTGACACCAGCACCAGAAAAATGTCAGTTGGACTTTTGTGCGTGTAGGCCCTGAATGCCTCTCTGTCCTTCGCTCCCCCAGGAGGTCTCGACCAACTAGTTCTGAACCACGTTGGAGGCACCTCCTTTGGTCCATTCAAAGGAGCCATTGAGCCTGTGATCAAGTCGATGACTGTGAACTTCTTCAGCTACGTCCAGTTGACCATTTCTGCCATGGATCTACTGCTGGAATCTAAGGGGAACATCGTAGTCATCTCCTCCATGAGTGGTAGGCACTGCAATCCTCACAGGCTGGCACATTGGTGGATCCCGCAGTGGGGCATTCATTTGTGCTGGTGGAGGGGCTCTCCTGCATGTGATCCTACCAGTTCTCAGTTCTCTTAAAAGCCTGGTAGACCAGTACCTCTGCTAAATCCTAAAGAATTGTCACATGACTATCAAGCCACGTCCACAAAATAAGCCACGCCCACAGAACCGGTAGTAAAAAAAGTTAGAACCCACCCCTGGTCCTAAGTCAAGGACTAGCTGTATTAAAGTGGACGTGGAAGAGCGTACGATTGCAGGAAGAGATTGAGAGAAGGGGGAGAGGGAGAGGGAACAAGCCATTGGCATCCATCCATGCCAATCTCTCCCTCTCCCTCCCAGGACGTGTTCCGGGCCCCTTCAGCGTCTCCTATGCAGCAGCCAAGTTCGCCGTGGAAGGATTCTTCACCTCGCTACGTACCGAGCTGCGCCTGCGGAACATGGACCTGCCCATCACTGTGGCTGTGCTGGGCTACATCGACACCGGTGAGTGACGCGTTGAAACCCTCCCTTGCCCAAACCCAGCCCCCTCCTCTTGGGCCGGCCACCCATCTTTTTGCTCCTTTCTGCAGAAACGGCCGTGAAGTCCGTGGGAAACAAAATCACCCAGAGGCCGAGCCCTAAAGAAGATTGTGCCCGGCGGATTGTGAGGGGTGGAGTGTTGCGTTACCGCGAGGTCTTCTATCCTTACTGGGCCCTGAAGCCCACCCTGATCTACAGAGAGCTGCTGCCAGACCTCATGGACCAAGTCATAGGCTACGGCTACAGACTGGAGAACATCCTCTAAAACTCAAAGGATTACCCAGCATCGCCATCCATGTCTCCCAATGATCGGGACTGCTCGCTAGTTACACCCACAGCGTTTGCGGCAAATGCTGTGGGTGCTTCCCACCCCTGTAGGAAGGAGAGCCATGGATAAAATGGCGCCATTTCCTCCTTCTTTCCTCAGCTCACCTTTACTCTGGTGCAGGATTTGGAGTCCTGGCCTGTTATCCAGATGCAGCTGTTGCATTGTGTAAAACCCAACAGCAAATCAAACAGCTTCTCAGGTGCCCAATTTTTCAAGCCCTGTTGGGGAACCTGGAACTAAATACTTACTGAACCTAAAAACTGTGATCATTGCAGAAATAAGTATAGTATGTATATTACATACCCGTAGTATGTATTTAGTAAAAAAAGTCACACCACAGTGGAAATAGTGCAACATCCTGTTAGTAACTTGGATTAAACAGGGGAAAGGAAAACAAGACGACTCATGCTTTTTTAGTCACCAATCCAGGGGTGAAATCCAGCAGGTTCTGACAGGTTCTGGAGAACTGGTAGCGGAAATTTTGAGTAGTTTGGAGAACCGGCAAATACCACCTTTGGCTGGCCCCAGAGTGAGGTGGGAATAGAGATTTTGCAATATCCTTCCCCCAGGAATGGGGAGGGAATGGGGATTTTGTAGTATCCTTCCCCTGCCATGCCGATCAAGCCACACCCACCAAGCCACGCCACGCCTACCAAACCACGCCCACAGAACCAGTAGTAAAAAAAAATTGGATTTCACCACTGCACCTATCATAAGTATGATTATTAATGTAAAACAGCATGACGTATTTCCTGGGTCAAAGGTCAAAGCAAATAGATCAAAGCAGTGCACCCATGTAACGCAAAAGCTGGATTCACACGATACATCAAACCGCAACATAGCCAATCCCTGTTGGACACAGAGGGTGCAAACCCATCTCATCTACTCAATTAGGGGAACACGGTGCTGGACAAGCCCAGAAAATTGAACTGCTCATGTAGTGTTCAGTAAATCAAAATTATCCCAACTGGATGTGCTACCCTGAGCTGCACATTTATTTATTTTTTAGTGACAAAACCAACAGAAGCATCTTATGCTGCTATCACCGTACCTATAAATCACTAGATTTGCAGCCCAGAATGGCTGATTTGAGGCTCAGACTCACTCAGCAAGGGCCGAGGTGGCATCGCCCCAGAGGTGGGTTTCAGCAGGTTCTGACTAGTTTTGGAGAACTGGTAGTGGAAATTTTGAGTAGTTTGGAGAACCGGTAAATACCACCTCTGATTGGCCCTGCCTCCATCTATTCTCTGCCTCCCGAGTCCCAGATGGATGGAGGGCCCCTCAGAAAGGCCTGTCGGATCAAATACCAAGATGGCATTCCCTCTGGGAGCTGAGACCCTAAAATGTCCCCCCCCAAAAAAAGCTGTCATTGGAAGGGAAAGGGGGGGTTGGAATGTGACTGATGCCCAGTAGCTCATCCTAAGGCTTTTACCTATTGTGGTCAAACATATATAGGCAGTCCTCAACTTACAACCACAACTGACCCCAAAATTTCCACTGCTAAGCAAGATGATTGTTCAGTGAGCTTTGCCCCATTTTATGACCTTTCTTGCCACAGTTGTTAAGTGAGTCACTGCAGTTGATGGAAGTTAGTAACCCGGTTGTGAAGGGCATCTGGCTTCCCCATTGATTTTGCTTGTCAGATGGTCGCAAAAGGAGCTCACCTGAGTCCGGGACACTCCAACCATCATAAGTACATGCCAGTTGCCAAGTGTCTGAATTTAGACCAGAGGGATGCTGCAATGGTCCTAAGTGTGAAAAATGGCCATGAGTCACTTTTTTCAGGGTAACTTCAAACACGAAACAAATGGTTGCAAGTCGAGGACCATCTGCAAGTAGGAACAGCTCAGCTTAGAAGACGGGTTTTGAGAGGAGGAAGAAGGAGAGATATGGAAGGAGGAAGGAAGGAAAGGAGGGAGGAAGGAAGGGAAGGAAAAGGAAGGAAGGAGGAATGGAAGGAAGGAAGGAGGAAGGAGGATGGAAGGAAGGAAGGAGAGGAGGGAAGAAAGGAAGGAGAGAGAGAGAGGGAGGACGGAAGGAAGGAAGGAGAGGAGGGAGGATGGAAGGAAGGAAGAAGAGGAGGGAGGATGGATGGAAGGAGAGAGAGAGAGGGAGGAAGGAAGGAAGGAAGGAGAGGGAGAGAGAGGGAGGACGGAAGGAAGGAAGGAGGGAGGGAGGATGGAAGGAAGGAAGAAGAGGAGGGAGGATGGATGGATGGAAGGAGAGAGAGAGAGGGAGAAGGAAGGAAGGAGAGGGAGGGAGGATGGAAGGAAGGAAGGAGAGGAAGGGAGGATGGAAGGAAGGAAGGAGAGGAAGGGAGGATGGAAGGAAGGAGAGGAAGGGAGGAAGGGAGGAAGGAAGGAAGGAGAGGAAGGGAGGATGGAAGGAAGCAAGGAGAGGAAGGAAGGAAGGAGGAAGGGAGGAGGATGGAAGGAAGGAAGGAGAGGAAGGGAGAATGGAAGGAAGGGAGGAGAGGAAGGGAGGAAGGAAGGAGAGGGAGGATGGAAGAAGAAGGAAGGAAGGGAGGGAGGACGGAAGGAAGGAAGGAAGAAGAGGGAGGGAGGATGGAAGGAAGGAAGAAGAGGGAGGGAGGATGGATGGATGGAAGGAGAGAGAGAGAGGGAGGAAGGAAGGAAGGAGAGAGAGAGGGAGGAAGGAAGGAAGGAGAGGAAGGGAGGATGGAAGGAAGGAAGGAGAGGGAGGGAGGATGGAAGGAAGGAAGGAAGGAGAGGGAGGGAGGATGGAAGGAAGGAAGGAAGAAGAGGGAGGGAGGATGGAAGGAAGGAAGAAGAGGGAGGGAGGATGGATGGATGGAAGGAGAGAGAGAGAGGGAGGAAGGAAGAAGGAGAGGGAGTGGAAGGAAGGAAGGAGAGGGAGAGAGAGGGAGGACGGAAGGAAGGAAGGAGGGAGGAGGATGGAAGGAAGGAAGGAGAGGAGGAGGATGGAATGAAGGAAGGAAGAAGAGGGAGGGAGATGGAAGGAAGGAAGAAGAGGAAGGGAGGATGGATGGATGGAAGGAGAGAGAGAGAGGGAGGAAGGAAGGAAGGAGAGAGAGAGAGGGAGGAAGGAAGGAAGGAGAGGAAGGGAGGAGGGAAGGGAGGGAAGGAAGGAGAGGATGAGGAAGGAAGGAGGAAGAAGAGGGAGGGAGGATGTCCGGAAGGAAGGAGAATTTAGTCAGGATTCCTCTCTGGAAGGAGGCTTCAGAGGATGGAAGAGAGAAGTGGAAGGAAGGAGGAGGAGGAAGGGAGGGAAGGAAGCCCCTGAGAGGAAGGAATTCCAGGGAAGGTCTGGAGGATGGAAGGAAGGAAGGAAGGAGAGAAGGAAGGAGGATGCCTGGAAGGAAGGAGGAATGGGTCTGAAGGTCCGAAGGAAGGAAGAGGAGGAATTGGATGGAAGTTCATGGAAGGAAGGGAGAGTCCTTTGAAGGAGGATTGGGAGGAAAGGAGGATTCCCTTCAGGGAGGAAGGAAGGTTGAAGGAGGAGGGATGCCTCTTGGATGGATGGAAGGATGGATTCCTTCTCTGAGAAGGAGGAATTCCTTCCAGGAGAGGGAGGGAGGATGGAAGGAAGGAAGGAGAGGAAGGGAGGATGGAAGGAAGCAAGGAGAGGAAGGAAGGAAGGAGGAAGGGAGGGAGGATGGAAGGAAGGAAGGAAGGAGAGGAAGGAAGGATGGAAGGAAGGAAGGAGAGGAAGGGAGAATGGAAGGAAGGGAGGAAGGAAGGAAGGAAGGAGAGGAAGGGAGAATGGAAGGAAGGGAGGAAGGAAGGAAGGAAGGAGAGGGAGGGAGGGAGGGAGGAAGGAAACAGAGGAAAGGAAGGACACTTCAATGTGCTTGGCCATCTCCTTTTCACTCAACAAAATAGACGTTCTGTTTACTTCCTGTTGCGCTGGGGTTAGCTGAGCAGCAGAGCCTACACACGCAGATGCGGAGAGACAGAGACCCAGCCCCACACCTACCCTGAGGAGCGTGCACCAAACTTTTTATTCACGTAGCATCTTCCCATACACGAAAAGGCATTTAGGCCCCTGCAGAGTTTGTATCGGGGCCTGGGCTTCCCTTGTCCGTCTCGTCCTCCTTGTTGCCTCTGAACCTGGCCAGCACAGGTGTGTTGAAAACGGAAGTAGTGCTGGAAGGGCCAGAACTTTGGGAAGGTGAGGTGGGGGAGCTGCTGGCAGGAACCCTGGAAGAAACCCACGTCTGCAGTCAGGGCTGGCTCCCCCGACCCCCTCCTCCAGAAGAAGGGCCTGCAGTACCAGACCATCCGGTGGAACCCTCAGCCTTCCTCCCTAGGAAGGGCCAAGAGTTGAGATGCGTCTGAAACTCACCTTGTTGGACCCACCGCCAGGTCCACCACCTTAAAAGAGGGGGAAAATGGTCCAAGGAAAAGCAACGGATGTACGAATGAAGGCAAATGTACCTTGGGAAAGCGTATTTCAGCCGGTGGACAGAGTTGCTTGTGAGAAACGAGGGACGAAATCCACCAGGATTCAGCATTAGAGGGCGTAGGTCAACCATGCTGTGAAGGATGGGAAAAAGGAAAGAGGAGTCCTACAGAGAATGTGCCCCAGAGACTACGGGCACCTCTGCACCTGGCCTTCCCTTACTCTCCCCTGGGTATTGCTCTTTTGAGGGAGACCAGGTCCTTCCCGCCCCCTCCCTCTTCCCACCACAAGGATCTGTGGCAGCCCTGCGGATGCCAGATTCCCTTGGATCACCCTGGCACCTGCTTTGCACCTCGTTCCTTCCGTAGGATGATCGGAGGGAGGCAACTCATCCTCCATCTCTTCACTTCCCCCCATCAGTCAGGTATTCCTCCATTTCAGGGGCCGCTCAGTGGCCCTTAGCCCAGTCCCTCTCACTGCCTTCCAAGCTGGCCAACTCAATGCTGGTTGAATTACCTCTTCCCTCCCACTCCCTTTTCTTGTAGCCGATTTATACCAGAAAACCAGCCGGGAGGAACCACACAGAGGTGCTATTCAGCAGGTTCTGGAGAACCAGTAGCAGAAATTTTGAGTAGTTCAGAGAACCGGCAAATACCACCCCAGAGGGAGGTAGGAATGGAGATTTTGCAATATCCTTCCCCCAGGAGTGGGGCGGGAATGGAGACTTTGCAGTATCCTTCCCCTGGAGTGGGGTGAGAATGGGAATTTCGCAGTATCCTTCTCCTGGAGTGGGGTGGAGAGGGAGATTTTGCAGTATCCTTCCCCTGCCACGCCTACCAAGCCACACCACGCCCACCAAGCCATGCCCACAGAACCAGCAGTAAAACCAATAGTAAAAAAAATTGAATTCCACCTGGAACCACAGCATGCAATACCTTCCTTAACTTTGGGTACTTTGCCCTGGCAGAACTTGGTTAAGTTGGCCCAACTGCTTGGATTCACATGACCTCCTGAAGCATAAGCTGGTCCTGTGGGGTTGGTTTTCCAGAGCAGGGGTCTCTCCAACCTTGGCAATGTTAAGTCTAGAGGACTTCAACTCCCAGAATTCCCCAGCCAGCCTGTTCCAGGGGGAAGCTCTAGCCCAGCATTTCTCAACCTCAGCAATTTTAAGACTTTATCGAAAAAATAAATACATGTAGAAAGTACTTTTTTAAAAAGTGAAAAGCTACAACAAAGAAGGACTTATCATTTTAGCAATAAATAGTTATTATTATATATATATAGTTATCTAATGGAGTTATTATTTGAGTAGAAATATCTTTTTTGTATTTATATAATTTTCATGTTTTTAGCCTACTATATACTTTGTAAAACTGACTTGCATATTTCATTATATTTGTCCGTACATTTGTAGGCAATAGGTGGATTGCAAGTGTAGTCAGCTCTTCAGTCCGATGAGTAAAAGCGGCCATACATTTCATTTTCCAATGTTTTTCTCCCAAAACTTAAGTAAATGTACGATATTGTAAAAACATGTGTTTCAAGGAAGCTGAGGCCCAGTGACACTCAAACTCTCATTGTCTAGGCAATAGAGGAATTTCTAATTTTTTGTGTGTCCAATCACACTTTGCCAATAAAGAATTCTATTCTATTCTATTCTATTCTATTCTATTCTATTCTATTCTATTCTATTCTATTCTATTCTATTCTATTCTATTCTACCCTACCCTACCCTACCCTACCCTACCCTACCCTACCCTACCCTACCCAACCCATTTCTTAGCATATGCACACCAAACTGATTTATTGATAACAAGTATCTTTAAAATGTAGAGTGGTATTTTTAGTTTCAAAAGATTTAACAAGTTGTTCTAATATTTCGGATGTCTCAGAAGCTGAAAATACTGGTGGTCCATACAATGTTGTTAGCAAATGCTGCAGTGGTAAATATTGCCACTGAATTACACTGGCTCCTAGTGCTCTTCCGGGTGCGATTCAAGGTGCTGGTTACCACCTTTAAAGCGCTCCATGGCATAGGACCCGGGTACCTTCGAGACCGACTTCTGCCACCAATAGCCTCCCACCGGCCAGTTCGCTCCCACAGAGAGGGTCTCCTCAGGGTGCCATCGGCCAAGTTATGTCGGCTGGCGACACCCAGGGGGAGGGCCTTCTCTGTGGGAGCCCCAGCCCTGTGGAATGAACTGCCCCCGGAAATACATAAGATCCCCGACCTCCGGGTATTTCGCTGTGCACTGAAGACCCTGTTGTTCCGCCAGGCAGGGCTATCAGCATAATAATTTTAAATTGGGGTATTTTAAATTTTTTAAATCGGCCAAATCTATTTAATTATTTTAATTTTTAATCATTGTTGTGTTTTGTGTTTTTAAATTGGCTGTACACCGCCCTGAGTCCTTCGGGAGAAGGGCGGTATAGAAATAAAATTATATTATTATTATTATTATTATTATTATTATTATTATTAATTACAGATGATAATTATGTCTTAACACAATACATATTAAGAATTCATCATCAACATCTCAATCAGCAGATCCAAAGTCAATATTCCCACTTCCATCCAATTTTTCCATTTCTGCATTTCTAATTTTGTCTTTTGTTATGGTTTTTTTGTTATTATTTTTAAAAATCAATAAAATAATAAGTAATTTTAAAAAGATGCATGGACTTCAGGATCCAATCTGGGCTGATCACCGGGATCAGAGGTTTTGTCTTCTGAGCTTTCAGACTTATGCTGGAACCCATCCGCGGGGAACCTGGCACCTGCCTGACCAGGTGGCTCAGTGGCTAAGACACTGAGCTTGTCAATCAGAAAAGTTGGCAGTTCAGCGGTTCGAATCTCTAGTACTGCGTGAGCAGGGGGTTGGTGGTATGACTAGATGACCTCCAAGGTCCCTGCCAACTCTGTTACTGTCTCTCTCACCAGAATGTAAAGCTCTGGTCTTGGTGACCAACCCAGACTGGATCCTGCAACATTATCTTGGGACACGTATATTTGACTTCAGTTCCCAGAATTCCTTGCTTTCTAGGGACTTTTGGTGTCGAAGTCCAAATATCTTACAATTTGCTGAGGTTGAGAAACACTTCAAGCCCACAGGTGGCTCAGGAAGGTCTGTGAAGGTGACAATTCTACCTCATTTCTATACAGCTTCCGTCTCCCTGTCTGGCTTCTGACCTCTTTTGATTGACAGGTGACATGCCGGCCCAAAGCTGCTTCAAGTCTGGATTGTTTCTTTCCATCTGTCGGGGTAAAGAGCAGCAGATTATATTCAAACAAGTAATGATGTTTTGGGAGAATTATGCAGAAGTTGCTACGCCTGGAGAAAATCCTCTCTCTTTAACAAGTCCAAGTAAATGAAAAGCACAATATATTAACACATCTAACAAAACGAAATTCAATGTAGAGAAAAGTAAAGTCTTACACAGGAAAGAAAACCCCCAAAAGTACACATATAGACTGGGTGAAACCAGGCTTAATAGCAGTGACTGTGAGAGGGATCCTGGGGTCTTAGTGGACAACCAGTTAAATAGGAGCCAGCAGTGTGCAGAGGCAGCCAAAAAAGCCAATGCAATCCTAAATTGCATTAATAGAGGGAAACAATCAAGATCAAGGGAGGTACTAGTACCACTCTAAAGCCTTAGTAAGGCCACACCTAGAGTCCTGCATCCAGTTTGGGTCACCACAGTATAAAACAGATGTGGAGACTCTAGAAAGAGTGCAGAGAAGAGCAACCAGGATGATGAGGGGACTGGAGGCTAAAACATACAATGAACGGTTGCAGGAACTGGGCCTGGCTAGTCTAGTGAAGAGAAGGACCAGGGGAGACAGGATAGCAGTCGTCCAATATTGGAGGGGCTGCCACAGAGAGGAGGAAGGGGGTCAAACTATTTTCCAAGGCACCCGAAGGCCAGACAAGGAATAATGGATGGAAACTGACCAAGGAGAGATTCAACCTAAAGATGAGGAGGAATTTTCTGACAGTGAGAACAATCAACCCATGGAACAGAAGTTGACTTCAGAAGTTGTGGAAGCTTCATCACTGGAGACTTTCAAGAAGAGACTGGACTGCAATTTGTCAGGAATGGATTAGATGACCTACAAGGTCCCTCCCAACTCTGTTAAAGTACATCCAACCATCACTGGGTTTCCTGAACAAGCCAGAGTCAATCCTAGAAATAAGAAGTTTGCTTGGGCTGTTTGATGTTTACTTATGATGTTTACTTATGAATGTTTACTTATGAACATTCTCAAGGCAGGCATTGTGCAAAGACCTGAGGAGAAGAAGACAATGTTTGAAAGAGTGCAGAGAAGAGCAGCTAGGATGAGTAAGGATCTGGAGGTTAAAACATTCAAAGAACGGTTGCAGGAATTGGTCTGTCTAGTCTAGAGAAAAGAAGGACTGGGGGACATGATAGCAGTGTTCCAATATTTGAGGGGCTGCCACAAAGAAGAGGGGGTCAAACTAGTCTTCAAAGCACCAGAAGGCAAGAAAGAAACAATGGTTGGAATCTGATCAAGGAGAGAAGCAACCTGGAATTAAGGAGAAATGTCCTGGCACTGAGAACAATTAATCACACTGAGAACAATTAATCGCACTGAAGGAATGGCTTGCCTTCAGAAATTTACAGATTACAGATCAACAGAGTTAGATGCAGTGGTGGGATTCAAATTTTTTTACTACCGGTTCTGTGAACAGGGCTTAGTGGATGTGGTATGGCTTGGTGGGTGTGGCTTGGTGGGCGTGGCAGGGGAAGGTTACTGCAAAATCCCCATTTCCTCCCGATCAGCTGGGAGTCAGGAGGCAGAGAATAGATGGGGGCGGGGCTAATCAGAGGTGGTATTTACCGGTTCTCCGAACTACTCAAAATTTCCTCTACTGGTTCTCCAGAACTGGTTAGAACCTGCTGAAACCCATATCTGGTTGGAAGCAGAGGTGAGTTTTAGCAGGTTCTGACCAGTTCTGGAGAACCAGTAGAGGAAATTTTGAGTAGTTCGGAGAACCGGTAGTAAAAATTCTGACTGGCCCCTCCCCCATCTATTCTCTGCCTCCAAAGTCCCAGCTGATCGGGAGGAAATGGGGATTTTGCAGTAAATTTCCCCTGGATTGGGGTGGGAATGGAGATTTTACAGTATCCTTCCCTTGACACGCCCACCAAGCCATGCCACACCCACCAAACCACGCCCACAGAACCGGTAGTAAAAATTTTGAAACCCACCACTGGTTGGAAGGGATCTTGTAGGTCATCCTGTCAGTTTCCATCCCTTATTCCTTGTTTCTGGCCTTCGGTGGGTTGCTTTGGAAAATAGCTTGGACCCCCTCCCTCCTCTCTGGGGCAGCCCCTCAAATATTGGCAGACTGCTATCCTGTCTCCCCTGGTCCTTCTCTTCACTAGACTAGACATACCCAAGTTGTGGGGTGTCCCATCACTAAAGGCTTTTAAAAGAAAATGGAGGAAGATAACCAGTTAAAAATTAGAAGCAGGAGCAGTAAACCCAGCATAAAATCCCAGTCATAAAAAAAAGCCACAGATCCCGTTGCGAACCAGTAGTAAAGGTAAGTAGAACCCACCCCTGGTCCAGCCCACTCTGGGGGCCACCACCAAGAAAGTCCCTTTGTTTGTAGCTAATGCTTGCCTTCCTCCCAACCCCAACGCAGAGGGGCAGCATCTGGAAAGACAAGAGGTTGCAGAGACGAGAAGCACATACCTGCTTTGGGAAAGAACCGAAGATTTTGGGCATGGCTGGAAGACCCGAGTCCCAGAGCTTGGACTCTGGCGGGCTGAATCCTCCCATCAGTATAGGCCTCCGGACCCTCCTCTCGGCCGGCCTCCAGGATGAGGTCTTGGCAGCTGAAAAGGAGCAAAGTTTCACTCTCTGCCACTTCTGCCTCCCACCTGTGTGTGCCCACAATTGGAAGGGTTAGGGGTGTGGTGTGGGGGCTAAGCCATGTTGGAACCTGGTTTGCCAATGGCTGCAACCTTCCTCTGCAGGAGAGTCAAAATGACAATCACAACCACAGTGGTTGTCATTTTGTCACATTAGAAGAATGTGATGCTTCTAATGCAGGGGTCTCCAAACGTGGCCATTTTAAGACATGTGGACTTCTACTCCCAGAATTCCTCAGCCAACTTTGCTGGCTGAGGAATTCTGGGAGTTGAAGGCCACAAGTCTTAAAGTGGCCACGTTTGGAGACCCCTGTTCTAATGCATAAAAAGGGGCAGGACTTTCTTTGCATGGTTGTGGTCACCATCTTGACTTTCTTAAAACCCCCCACCCCACCCCAGACTCCCCTGATCCCCTGGTTTTCATTTTATCCTTTAGGCCCCTGATTGTATTAAGTTGTGTGTTTGTTTTGACTTTAATGAGACAAGGACATGCTGTTAAGCAAAGATTGACAAAGGTATATCTGTACCCAAATTTTTATTTCCTAAATCTGGAATGCAATTCTTTCAAAATAAACCTGGCAGGTGCACTTGGCAAGGAAAAAGACAACAAGGGATGGTCAAGCCTTGCGCTCCCCCCATCTCCATTTCGGGGCCATAAATGGGGCTGCTAATCCCGGTTTTCAAACAGTTGCGTTCACCAGGGCCCTGAGTGCCTGAGTAGGTGATGTGGATGCAGTTCTAAATGTTTGTGGAGATTCTCAGTCCTCCAGGCTCACTCCCTTAAACTGCTGACAGCAGTTAAAACAACTTTCACTCTGGAAAAGTATTTACATCTAGAAATGCCATCAGTGGAGAGACAGTTATTTGTTAAGTTTAGATTCGAACTTCTAGATACCAACGTTAGATTCGGCCGTTACTGGAAAATCCCGTATGACAAAAGAACATGCATATGTGGGGTAAACGTCGTGGAGGACACGGCGCATATAATATTCGAATGTAGGCTGTATGAGGAAGTAAGGAAACAATATCTGTCTCCAATTATAAATAAATTTCCCCACTGGAATGTAAGGCATAAATTATCATTTCTGTTGAAGGCAGACTCTCCTCCCCTGGTAAGGGCCATCACCCGCTATCTTAAAAGGATGACAGCAATACGAGCCAGTTATATTGAAAAGAACTTCATTGATTGTAAGAAAGACGAGCTGAGTTAGAGAGGAGCTATCTTATTTGGGTTATCTAGTCTTGGCAACTTAGCTATTGAAATTTGATATTGTAAAATTTTAATGTCATATATTTTTAGATTGTTATTTCTGTAACTGTTTTGTCTTTTCCCTTTTTCTTTTCTGTTTTGTTTGAAAAGGCCTTCGGGCTATTCAATAAACAAATACAAATACAAGATTCAGCACTTGACATATCGTCAAGCTGAGATGCAACCAGGTCACCAGAACAGGCTCCTCTGTCAGACACATCTAAATCATAGTTGGATCACAAGGAAAAAAAATACCTGCATTTTTCAGCCTTACCCACTTGAAGGGAAATAAAAACAAACAGTCCTCCAGGTCATGGTTGTTCCAAAGGTGCTTTTTTCCCCAAGAGACAACTGGACTTCCTTGGTTTTTCCTTGAGGACATTTGGGGGGGGAATGGAAGGATTGGCAGCTCCACAACACCGTCCTTTCAATAGTTCCAAGAAGGCTCCACACCCATTTGCACCACTCAGGTGACCCTGAGGACACAGACAAATCTCCAAGTGGCCTCAACGACCCTCTCAAAGGATGCAAATGACCAGCTATCTGCAAGGAATATAAATCCTTCCATTCCCCACCATCCAGTTAGAGCTGAAGAAGCTTCTCGGATGAGAAGCGAAACGTCCTCAAGGAAAACCAAGAAAGTCCAGTTGCCTCTTGAAAAAGCACCTTTGGATGAAGTTCTGGTTTTGGCTGTTCCAGATTTCCACTGGTGGAGCTGGAGGCCATGGAAGGATGCTCAGGGAGTCTGGCTTGACCAGAGCAACTGGGCACCCTGGTAGGAAAGACAACGGAAGTCTCCTGCAAAAACACTGTGATCACTTCAGGATTCAAAGGAAGCTCCTGCAGCTCTCAATCTGAAGCTTAATAACCAGCTGGATGCCAGCATTGTGGCTTTCTCCTCATTTATTTATTTATTTATTTATTAAATTTATATGCCGCCCCTCTCCGGAGACTCAGGGCGGCTCATGAATATTACTTCATGATAGCAGTCTTCCAATATCTCAGGGGCTGCTACAAAGAAGAGCGAGTCAAGCTTATCTCCAAAGCACCAGAGGGCAAGACAAGAAGCAATGGGTGGAAGCTAATCAAGGAGAGGAGCAACCTGGAATTAAGGAGAAATTTCCTGACAGTTAGAACAATTAATCAGTGGAACAGCTTGCCTCCAGAAAACGTGGGCATTTCATCCCTGGAGGCTTTTAAGAAGAAATTGGATAACCATTTGTCTGAAATGCTATAGAGTTTCCTGCCTAAGCAGGGGGTTGGACTAGAAGACCTCCAAGGTCCCTTCCAACTCTGTTATTCTGTTCTGTTCTGTTCTATTCTGTTCTGTTCTATTCTATTCTATTCTATTCTATTCTATTCTATTCTATTCTATTCTATTCTATTCTATCTATTCTATATTCTATTCCTATTCTATTCCTATTCCTATTCCTATTCATTTCTATTTCTATTTCTATTATTTATTCTATTTCTATTATTTATACTAAATAGCAATATGCTATTTAGTATACTGTCTTTGGTGTAAGCCGCCCAGAGTCCTCGGAGAGTGGGCGGCGTAGAAATACGAATAATAAAAAATAAAATAAAATAAATATTTCTATTTCTATTTCTATTCTAAAAACACCACTGTTACATTCACAAAACCCTCGTGCTCTGCACATCACCGGGGCACGGTGCCAGATTAGTTCATACCATATGCTAAGACAACAACTGGCTTCTCACCACTTTTGGGCTGGTACCAGCTGTGGGCTGCAACATGCAGTCCCTGGAGGGGAGCCCAAGGTGTGCGGCTTTGTTTGTATGGCTTTGCTGCCTTCTGCCAGTCAGTGGATTGTAGCCCTGAGGACCCGGATTGTGGGGGCAATAAGCTGACTTTGTATAAAAAAGAACACTGCTTGGGGGGGGGGGGAAAGCCCTACTAAGCAGGTATATACAAAAGTATGAAGGCTATTGCTTAAAAGCATTGTAAGCCACCCTGAGTGTCCGGAGAAGGGCGGCATCTAAATCGAACCAATAATAAATAAATAAATCCCTCTGCCGTGTGTGAATGCAGCCAGTGAAGTTGTGGGGGTGGTCTCAGGAAGAGCAACACAGAAGGTGGCCCCTCTGGTCAGCATCGTGGCTCCCTCGGGTCCCGCAACTATTCGAAGTGTCCAGGGGAGAGTGTGGGAATGAGCAGAAAACACCTGAAGACAAACACCCAGTACAAGTGAGAGGACAGGAAAGGCAGAGTTACCGCGGGCGTAATCGTTGGCCTTCTCCATCTCCCGCTTGAGTTGCTCAACTTTTTCCTCCATCTCCATTTCCCCCAGGGTGTTGTCATAATTCACATCGCCCTGCAGCAGGGCAAAGAACTTGGCCTGGAAGAGAGCAAAGCGACAGCAACAGCACTTAGACTTATATACCGCTTCACAGTGCTTTACAGCCCCTCTTTAAGCGGTTTACAGAGCCAGCCTCTTCCCCCAACAATCTGAATCCTCATTTTACTGACCTCGGAAGGATGGAAGCCTGAGTCAACCTTGAGCCTGGTGAGATTTGAACTGCTGGCAGTGGGCAGAGGAGGGAGGGAGGGAGGGGAGGAGGGAGGGAGGAGGGAGGAAGGAAGGAAGGAAGGAAGGAAGGAAGGAAGGAAGGAAGGAAGGAAGGAAGGAAATAGCAATAGCCCTATAGATTTATATACCGCTTCACTGTGCTTTTACAGCCCCTCTCTAAGTGGTTTACAGAGCCAGCCTCTTGCCCCCAACAATCTGGGTCCTCATTTTACTGACCTCGGAAGGGTGGAAGGTTCAGTCAACCTTCAGTTGGTAAGAATCGAACTTTTGGCAGTGGGCAGAGTTAACCTGCAATACTGCATTCTAACCACTGCATATCAAGGCAGGCAGGCAGGCAGGCAGGGAGTAAGGAAGGAAAGAAGGAAAGGAAAGGAAGGGAAAGGGAAAAGCAAAGCAATAAGAATAGAATTTATATACCGCTTCATAGTGCTTTAAAGCCTTCCCTAAGTGGTTTACTATTGCCCCCAACAATCTGGGTTCTCATTTACTGACCTCGGAAGGATGGAAGGCTGAGTCAACCTTGAGCCAGTCAAGTTCGAACTGCCAAATTGCTGACAGTTGGCAGTCAGCAGAATTAACCTTTTTACTTACTCTTTTCATGTATTCAAATTATGTTTATACTTTTACCTGTTATCTTATATATGCTTGACAAATAAACTTATGATTATGATGATGATTATGCTGCATTCTAACCACTGGCTCTTGGGGCAAATGGGGCTAGGGAAAACCGGGAACAGGCGAGCCAAAGTGACCTCCAGGCGCAAAGAAGGCGAAGGGCTGCCAAGTAGAGTTGCTCAAAAGATAAAATTTCCAGCAAGTAGAAAAGTGGAAGTGTAGATTTAAAGGCAGTTCCAGTATCTCCTCCCTGCTGGGCTAGATTTCCACCCAAAGGGAATAGATGCTTTAAGACGCTGCAGCCCCTCCTCTCCAGGCGGATCAGCTGATATCTGTTATTGGATCTGAATTTGCAAGGGACAATCAATCAAACTGAGCTGAAAGGACATAGCAGGACCCAGCCTGTTGACTTCCTCCTTGCAGGAGACAATTTCTGTCCTGCTGTCAGGACAAGAGCAGTCAAGGGCACAGCCTGGCGCTGCTTGGACCATAACTCCCATCATGCTGGCTGGTGATTACGGGAGAAGTGCAGGGGTATGAAATCCAGCAGGTTCTGACAGGTTCTGGAGAACCGGTAGCGGAAATTTTGAGCAGTTCAGAGAACCGGCAAATACCACCTCTGGCTGGTCCCAGAGTGGGGAGGGAATGAGGATTTTGCAGTATCCTTCCCCTGGAGTGGGGTGGAGATTGGGGACTTTGCAGTATCCTTCTTCTGCCATGCCCACCAAGCCACGCCCACAGAACTGGTATTAAAAAAAATTGGATTTCACCACTGGAGCAGTGAATCAGCACAGACCACCTTATCGGACACAGCCGGAGACCTGGGGATGTCCAGGGTCTCCAGATGGCCATCCTTCATCCAGAGTGCCCGGGATCCAGATCGTGTCTGAGCCCAGCCTTTCTCTCTCTCTGGGGCAGAAGAGCTGAGGCCGAGTGAGGGTCAGGGCCTTTGGGTTGGGCACTTGCTCCAGCTGGGCAGAGTGAAGCGCCAGGCTCTCCTGCAGGCAGAGCTGCTATGGAAGGATGCCTGAGCCACAAACAGCTTCTTAAAAGGGATAAGAAGCCAGGTAATGGTCGAGCAGAGTCAAAAAAGTCAAGATGGCAGCCAGGACGTGTGATAACCGCTCTCTCTGTTCTGCTTGCACCCTCGAGACCACTGGGCTGACTTTTTGACTCTGCCCTGCAGACAGCCCTGGGCCAAAGCCTCTGCTGCACCCCGACCAGGTGGGGAGGGCACCCCTCTGCCCACCCCAGGGTCCCTTCCTTGGCCAGCTGCAGCCTCACCTTGAGGTACTGCCCCAGGTTGCCCCTCTCGTTCTCGGCCTGCTTCCTCTTCCGCACCACCCGCTCGCAGATGCTGGGCTTCCGCTCCATCTGGGTGAAGAGCTCCTGCAGGGACTTCTGGGTGTAGCTCAGGCCTTGGCCCTCGTAATCCTGGGGGGAGATCCGCTCGCAGAAGGACAGGACGAGCGGGTACTCACCGTCGAATTCCTCCAGGGTCTCCATCCTGCACACCTCGGCCAGAAGGGAGGGGGAGAGTCAGGCACAGAGGAATTCAACCCACCCACCCACCCCATTCACTGGCAAGGCAGGAAAGGTTACCTCTGAGCATGTTTAGAGGGCAGTGCTCTCAAAAGGCAAAAAACAGCGGGGGGGGCAGTAAAGCATGGCAAGACCGCCATTGCTGGGGTTTTCAGACCCCAGAAGGGGCGCAGATCCTACAGGCAAGAGGCACAACCTCTGCCTCTCTAGACAGAATAGAATCGAGCTGGAAGGAACCTTGGAGGTCTTCTAGTCCAGCCCCCTGCTCAAGCAGGAGAACCTGTACCATATCAGATTAGTGGCTGTTTAATTTGTTCTTAAAAACTTCCAGCGATGGAGCGCCCACGATTTCTGGTGGCAACTTCTGTTCCCCTCACTGTTAATTGAGCCTGGATAGCTCTGCAGACAAAGGCACTGCAATTTAACACCAGCTGTCTGCAATTAAAGTAAGTTCGAATCTCGCCAGGCTCAAGGTTGACTCAGCCTTCCATCCTTTCTAAGCTAGGTAAAATGAGGACCCAGATTGTGGGGGCAATAAGCTGACTTTGTATAAATATACAAAAGTATGAAGGCTATTGCTTAACGCACTGTAAGACGCCCTGAGTCTCCGGAGAAGGGCGGATATAAATCAAATTAAAAATTGTCCTCACTGTTAGGAAGTCTTTAATTCCTGGTAGCGCAGCAGACTAAAGCACTGTTATTAACATCAGCTGGCCTGCAATTACTGCAAGTTCAAATCTCACCAGGCTCAAGGTTGACTCAGCCTTCCATCCTTTCTAAGGTAGGTAAAATGAGGACCCAGATTGTGGGGGCAATAAGCTGATTTGTATAAATATACAAAAGTATGAAGGCTATTGCTTAACGCATTGTAAGCCGCCCTGAGTCTCCGGAGAAGGGCGGCATATAAATCAAATTAAAAAAAAAAAAAATTCCAGGTTGCTTCTCTCCTGGATTAGTTTCCACCCATTGTTTCTTGTCCTGCCTTCTTGGTGCTTTGGAGAATAATTTGACCCCCCCTCTTCTTTGAGGGCAGCAGATCTGAGAATACAACTCCCAACACCCTTTGCCATGGCTCGTGCTCCCAAAGGGATGTTGGGAGTGATAGTTCAGCCCCCCAGGGAGAAAGTTTTGTAGGATGCCCTACAGGATGCCCTACATCAGGGGTCTCCAACCTTGGCAACTTTAAGCCTGGAGGACTTCAACTCCCAGAATCCCCCAGCCAGCGAAGCTGGCTGGGGAATTCTGGGAGTTGAAGTCCTCCAAGGCTTAAAGTTGCCAAGGTTGGAGACCCCTGCTCTAGACGGCTTCTGGGCCCCGGCTGTTGAGCCCCCCTCCTCCCAGGAGCCCCCCAAGCCGAGGACTCCAAGGACCCCTCTGCCGGTGCTCCAACGCGGCGCCCGCGGGGGCTGGCCGGGAGGGGCGTTTCCGCGCCGAGGGGCGTGGCTTGCCTGTCCCCGAGAGCAGCTGGCGCGGCTGGTGCCCGGCGGGTTCGAGGCGCTGCTGGGGCTCCGGGCTCCGCTGCCGCCGCTGCTCAGCCGACGGGCGGCTACATTGTGACACGCAGAGGCGGGAGTGCGGGGGGGGAGGCCTGTGCTCTCCCCGCGGTCCGCATCCCCCCCCCGCCCGGCGCAGGCTGAGCAATAGGCATCCCCTCCGCACCGTTGGCAGCCCGGGAGGGAAGCGGGGGGGCGGCGGCGGCGGGTCCCCCGGCCTCGTTTCCTTGCTTTAGGCCAGTGTTTCTCAACCTTGGTAGCTTGAAGATGGGTGGACTTGAACTCCCAGAATCCCCCAGCCAGCAGGGAGTTGAAGTCCACCCATCTTCAAGCTTCCAAGGTTGAGATTTATTTATTTATTTATTTATTTATTTATTTATTTATTTATTTATTTATTTATTTATTTATTTATTTATTTGTGCCGCCGTTCTCCGGAGACTCAGGGCGGCTTACAATGCGTTAAGCAATAGCCTTCATACTTTTTGTATATTTTATACAAAGTCAGCTTATTGCCCCCATAATCCTCATTTTACCTACCTTAGAAAGGATGGAAGGCTGAGTCAACCTTGAGCCTGGTGAGATTTGAACTTGCAGTAATTGCAGGCCAGCTGATGTTAATAACAGTGCTTTAGTCTGCTGCGCTACCAGGGAATTAAAGAGAAACTTCCTAACAGTGAGGACAATTTTTTTTTTTTAATTTGATTTATATGCCGCCCTTCTCCGGAGACTCAGGGCGTCTTACAGTGCGTTAAGCAATAGCCTTCATACTTTTGTATATTTTTATACAAAGTCAGCTTATTGCCCCCACAAACCAGGTCCTCATGTTTCCTCAGAGAAACACTGCTTTAGGCGCTTCGCTCGCATCATAAGACGGGCTACCATCTTGACAGTGAGTGAGTCGGGGTTGTTAAGCGAATCCGGCTTCCCCTATTGACTCATATCAGCCCTAGTCGTTCTCTTCAACCTGTGTTTCTCAACCTTGGGAACTTTAAGATGGATGGACTTCAACTCCCAGAATTCCCCAGCCAGCTTAGAAGAGGAGTTAAAGAGTCTGAGGGAGTTTTGAATCTTGTAGTAAGTTAGTATATTTTAGCTTATGCTTGTTTAATGTTACACCCTGTTTTTGCTCTGGGAAGTCGGGGGTGGGGGAGGGGAGGGGAGAGGGGGTTGAAGGTTGTTGGGGATAAAATTGTTGTTTAATTTTTAATAAAACTAAAAGATAGATAAATGTATTAATAGAGAAGTAAGAAATGTGGGGGAAATGTCATAATAAAGGAAATGATAATATTAAGATATGATAAATATTGGAGGAGTAAAAAGATACAAAAGATGTATTCAGAAGATATATTGAATGATTGATTATGTATTGTTTGTTTGTTTGTTTATAAAATAAAAACTCTTAATGGAAAAAAAAATTCCCAAGGTTGAGAAACACTGAAAGACTAAAGATACTCAGTTCCTGCAATTCTTCTTCGTCTCTTTTAGTCCCTTCAATATCTTGGTTGTTCTTCTCGGCACTCTTTCCAGAGTTTCAACATCTTTTTTTTTTAATATTGTGGTGATCAACACTGGATGCTTTCAAATTGTGGCGTTGCAGAAGACCCTGGAATCAAAAGTCCCCTGGGCTGCGGTGAGATCCGAGCGGTCTTTGAAAGGAAATTAACCCTGATTGTCCTTTGGATGGGACAGATCCTGAAGGTGAAGCTCAAACACTTTGGCCACCTAACGACAAGAGAGGACTCCTTGGAGAAGACCCCCACGTTGGGAAAGTTGGAAGGCCAAAGGATGATGAGATGGTTAGACAGTGTCAGGGACACAGTGGGAGTGGGAGTTTGAGCTATGGTGGCGCAGTGGTTTGAATGCAGTACTGCAGGCTAATTCTGCTGCTTGCCGGCTGCCTGCAATTTGGCAGTTTGATACTGACCAGCTCAAGGTTGACTCAGCCTTTCAACCTTCCGAGATCGATAATATGAGGACCCAGATTGTTGGGGGCAAGAGGCTGACTCTGTAAACTGTTTAGAGAGGGCTGGAAAGCACTGTGAAGTGGTATATAAGTCTAAGTGCTATTCCTATTCCTTCCTTCCTTCCTTCCTTCCTTCCTTCCTTCCTTCCTTCCTTCCTTCCTTCCCATCCATCCATCCATCCATCCATCCATCCATGGTGCACAGTGATTAGAATGCAGTATTGCAGGTAATTCTGCCCACTGCCATGAGTTCAATCCTGACTGGTTCAAGGTTGACTGAACCTTCCATCCTTCTGAGGTCGGTAAAATGAGGACCCAGTTTGTTGGGGGCGATAGGCTGACTCTCTAAACCGCTTAGAGAGAGCTGTAAAGCGGTATATAAGTCTAGGTGCTATTGCTAAGTGCTATTGGACAGACTCCGGGAGACGGTGGAGGGCAGGGAGCCTGGCATGCTGCGATCAGTTGGGTCGTGAAAACACAAATTAGTGACTGAACAACAGAGACCAAAACTGGACGCAGTACAGGTAGTCCTCGACTTAAGACCACAATTGAGCCCAAAATTTCCGTTGTGAGACATTGTTAAGTGAATTTTGCTCCTTTTTACGACTTTCCATGCTATTGTTGTTAAGTGAATCACTGCAGTTGTTAAGTTAGTAACAGGGTTGTTAAGTGAATCTGGTTTCCCTGTTTGACTTTACTTATCAGAAGTTCACAATAGGTGATCACATGACCTCGGGACATTGCAACCGTCATAAACACGAGTCACTTTCCAAGCAACTGCATTGTAGTCCTATAACCATGGGGGAGATGCTGCAACAGTTGTTAAGTGTGAAAAGGGTTCATTACTCACTCTTTTCACTGAATGGTCACTAAATGAACTGTTTTAAGTTAAGGACTACCTGCATTCTATTGGAAACTAATCAAAGAGAGAAGCAACTTGGAATTCAGGAGAAACTTCCTAAGAGTGAGGACAATTAACCAGTGGAACGGAAGTTGCCTCCAGAAATCATGGGTGCTCCATCACTGGAGGTTTTTCAAGAAGAGATTATACAGTCACTTGTCTGAAATGGTACAGGTTCTCCTGCTTGAGCAGGGGACTGGACTAGAAGACCTCCAAGATCCCTTCCAGCTCATTCATTCTAATCTCCAAGTGTGTCTCATCAGGGCAGTAGTGCTCCATCCAGAGGGGGAATCTGGAAGGATCTTTTCTAACAGATTTAATTAAAAGGCATTTTTGAACTGCAGCTCCCATAATCCAGCATTGATTATTTCTCAATCTTGGCCATTTTAAAATGGGTGGACTTCAACTCCCAGAATTCTCCAGCCATTGATCAAATTTTGCCTTCTGGTGGCTTTGCAGTATCTTCAGCATGAAAAGCCTTTTCTCATCTGAAACCCGGAGATCTTTTCAGTAGAGTGAACTTTTTACACCATCTGGAGGAAATAAATAAAATTTCATGCTGCACCTGAAGGTTGTGGTATAGAGACCAAGATAGTTGATCTGGGAGGTGGGAGGGGGAGGGCTTCAGAGATCTTTCTGCTGGCAAAGAAAAAGGATGGACTTTGCCAAAGGGAGAAGGGGAAATCCATCCTAAATATGACCCTGGAAAATATTGTAAACATCAATGAATGCTTCATGAAAAAGTTCCATTAAAAGGCAAAGATGAACACAAAAAGCTTTGCTGCTTTTTTGCAAGATCTGGTTCACACAATATATACATATATATCATGTCTATCATCTAAACTTTTTCTATTGTATGTATGTTATGTATGTATGTCATCTTTTTC